CTGTGGAAAGCCCAATGCAGTAAATGCATATAGCACTTTCAATATCGGGCGAGCCACACATTGTGATATATGCCCTTCTAATACATTATACTTTCTTTAAGAAAATTTTAACCACGTCAAAATGTAAACTGTTCCAAAGAGCTCTGGTGAAAGCGATATACTGTTCTCCATATTAGGCATGCATATCGTATATTTTAGGTACTAAAAAGTGCAGCAGTGTAAAACTGCGGCGGTGAAATTCATCCATAAATGAATACAAAGGGCGAGAAAAGTCACGACCAGGCCGGCTTAAGTGAGGGAAAGCGGGGCAAAGGGGAAGAGCCGGAGGAAGGAGAGGACTAAGCAGGACGGTTTTATTTTATGCACACACCACCGCCGCCAAGCCAGCCAAGGAAGAAGTCAGCCTAATGGGAGTCGAAGACAGGACATGAACACGACAGGGGGATCGCGGCCAAGAGCAGAGGAAGTCGATATTTTGGCTTTTCCTGTCAACTTCACACGAATAATACGTTGACAGTTTTCCACTTTCCTTCGTTGCCTTGCTTTCCCTGCTCCATCAGCCAGCCACTCATCTCCTCCTCCTCCTCACCACGGACTACGCCATCGTCTCCGCCACGACAACCAACGCTGCTCCCCACTCATTACTCCTTCCCACACACAACAATTGTTCTTCTCCATCATCCCAGCTCCCGTCTCCCGTTTCACCCGTACGTCCTCCATCCCATGAAGATACTATAAATATTTTCCAGCATGATGATGATGATGATGATGACGATGTGGAGCGACGACGACGACGACGGCGGCGGCAGTGGTGGCGGCGGATGGATGGATGGATGGATCACCATGGTTGTGTCCCCCTCACTTTTGGCAAGGATTATTAGTCCCTTCCGAGCTAAAACCAGAAATTACTTTGAGCAGACTGTGAGAGGAGCTAAGTGAGTTTGAGTTACTCATTTTGGAGAAGAGTAAAAGCATTCTCAGAGTGAGACGACGGCAGAGAACACACGAGTTTGGTTTGATTTTGGCGTGGGGCTGCTGAGAATAAAGCTCTCTCGCTCTCTTTCTCTTGTGTCTGGTCGTCGTCCCGGTCGGTGCTAGAGGTTCCCCGCCTATTCCATTTCACAGCCACACGAAACTTTCTCTTCATTAGATTAAAAGAAAGAGTGAAGTGTTCAGTATGGGTCGGAAGTGGAAGTAGCGTGCACCAGGGAATTGATAGGCGAAATAAGAGCAGAGTAATGATATTGAACCGGCGGTGTGTTCTTCCAACCAACCACCGCTAACCAACCCACCACTCCATCCATCCACCCATCAATTCCTGGTTCGTGGTGGTCTCCTTCCTCGCACTCGTTCCGTTGTTCCGTGGGAGGAAAGAAAGAGAGAAAGAAAGAGAGTCATCCAAGTGGACTTTTCCAGTCTCGCTCTCCCAGCAGGCACCGAGTCAAACTCGACTTCACCATTAAGGACTTATCTATTTACGGTGGTCCGTCGGAGCTCTTTGCACGACCAGTAGCAGCCAGCCAAACTCTTTCACTCTCTTTGCTACTCACACACAGAGAGAGAGAGAAAGGGAAATAAGGGCCAAATCTCCAACTGATAGGAAAATTATGGCAAACAATCACTAACGTCCATGCTGTGAAGTGAACTCAATGGGTTCCACAAGTCACCCTCATTCGATTTCCCCACCAACTACACCACCCATTACCGGGATGTCGGGACTTATTCACACTTTTCTGATTCCGATAATACTGAAGGGACGCCATGTGCAGCCAGCGAAATTACTTGTACGTAGTTGGCTGCAAAATTCGCATTATCAGAGTTGGAAAAATATTCTTTCTTGAATATGTACATACGTAAACCGTCTCCATCTACGAAATGGTTAAGAATGTAAAAATACTTGCGTGGCGTGAACGTGCAAGTAAGAGAACTGACAATTATTATTCCGAATCTTTTGTCCGTCGCAGATGACAGTCTGCATGGTCTAATGATGCCGGAAATCATTTGGCCATGTGGCTATTCTTCTTTCTAAATATATCGATTCATAGTCACCCCACATACCTACGACTAATGATGGTCACCAGAATGCGGTAGCTTGGATATCCAATCTCGACGACAGATTTGTCACCATCGATGAAATGAAAGACAGGGGATACGGTTCAACATTTATAATACATCATCCAACCATCTATCAACTCATCTGCAGCAGATCACCAGCTTCTACAGTGGACCGCTACTCGAATGCATAGTACTTATGAACCAGTTCATACATACATATATAGGACGAAGGTTGATTAAGAATTGCCTAAAAAATTAAATTAACACAACTCCGTGCATTCCTTTTATTAGAAGATTCAGACAAAATCATGCTGATCTGTAAAGTTCTGCAAGTTTTGCGTAATTCACTCTCACAGTGTAACAAAGTGTCCTGTAATAACTCCCCTTTTGAACTTGCTATTGCAAGGGATTTGACCCCTTCTGTTTGTAACTACATGCTTTGAAAATGGGCACACGCTGCATGGTTCAAGGGTGTCATTCGATGTCAGGAACTCTGAAATATGATCCTTCACGTATTTTGTTTTCGGAAGGAAGAAAAAGGACGCGACGTTCGACTTGAGATCGCCTCCTCATCCTCTTACATACGTCGTGGCATTATTGGCCTCTCGCACAGAGTGTAGCACAAGAAAAGTGCTCATGACGGGATGAATGACTTGCTTCCACTTTGTACATTTGTATAGGGCTGGCAGCCTGGCGTTTCCTCGTACCATTTGCTAACCAGCAAAGTGGTAGTGAGGGGCAATTATTGCCCGCATGGAGTGGAAGTAGCAAGACAGATGGAAGATAATGAATTAAGAAAGAAGAGTGGAACCAACCAGGAGACGGAGAGAAATTGACGGGGAGGGAGCGAGGAAAATAAGGAAGTGTTCCGAATTTTCATTTGTATTTGGTGGTGGTGAGGGTCACCCTTCTTCCCTTCTGGACCAGACCAAGTGCAAGCAGGGCGAGTGAAATATATTTGACAGAGAAATAAGGCACATGTCGACATGACACACGTTTGCTCCTATAATTAGGTGCTACGGAAAGACCGGTTGATAGCCAATCCAATAATCCACCCGAGAGTGGAGACCCAAAAAGAAGACCACAACCAAGCAGCAAAACGCTCCATGGTGAAATGGTGGCTCCCGACAGATTCATCCTTTGAGTTCATATCATTTCCAACAACCAACTGGATGGGCTTCCTCCTTCCACCCGCAGGCCCATATCATTTGCAGCGCATCACTTGCCGCACTACTCAAAGTCCGAACCCGACTGACTCTTCTAGGACATAGAATTTCTAAATTGGATCTTGAGGGCAATATTACTCCAACCTACATAGTGTATAACTCAAATAATGTCCCTCGTGCCCCCATGAAAAAAAAACATTAAAATGTGATGTAACATAAATCAGAAAAATAAGTGATTGCAGTGCTGCAACTACCACCATCATCGAAGTCATATTGATATGATAATCAAGGCAAGATTTATGCTCCCCTACACAATATACGAAGGGGCGAGTTGTCATTGATGCTGTATACCAGCAGCTAATTTGCCTCCCACCTAGTATGACACCACTACTGGACAAGATATGCTTGCTGCATTGATTGTCTATGGATGTGATATGGTCAAGTTATGAGTATAGCTGTAACAATAGTCCAGTAAATAAATAGGAAAGGGAAGAACGTCGCATTACAAAGTGAGAACCGGACTGGCTGTTTGGTGACAATGAAGCTGTCCAGCAGAGTCCAGATGTCAACTACAACTACGACGACGACAACATTGTGTGTGTGTGCCAAAGAAGTCCAAGTTGGATGAAAGAGGATTGGCTGGTTGCATTGGAAATCTGTGATACGAGACTCGGAGCAGTAGAATGCAGAAGCCCAGAAAGTGAGAATGTAGTAGTGATGGTGGTTGAAATTAGTTATTGGCATCTTGGCTAAAGGCCGGGAGAAAGCCGCCACTCGACATAAAATGACCATAAGTCCTTTTATTTCGCATTGCTCAATCTTATCTCACGTTCTTCACTTTCAGTTGACTTGAATCTGCACTAAGAATTCCTTTCATGTTCCGGGTGGTAAAAAGGAAATTGTCGAAACATACGAGACCAATGTCCTGCTAAAACCGGACTTTGCACCAATCACCATCAACCGTTCTTCTCCCGGATCTCTATCTCTCACACTCTCTCTGTCCGTCCGTGTCTTTCTCGTCTCGACTCCATTTGTTGGGTTGAGATCAACCCGTCCCAATCGGGCTCTTTCTATCCATCCACTTTTCATCCCAACAGAATTTCACTTTAAAGCAGCCATGTAGTATTTCCTCAATAAAGAGGTTACGCACTTTAAATGCAGCCACATTGCTACGAGACCGTACCACCGCCTCCTCTGCATGATTTCACCGAAAACCCTCCTGTTATTATCTATAGGACAACCTGTTACCCATGATTGCCTCCTCGATTCTGGTTCAGATCGAGTGCTACATATTACATTAATTACCAGGCGTGTTGAAGGCTTCTCCTCGCACGCCAAGCTGGTTTTGGTACGTGATTATGGTGGGAGCGTTGAGGCTAAATGCTGCATAAAAAATTTATTGGCCCTCCCGGACAAATTGTAGGTGTGAAATTATTTCATTGCATGAGTAATTTCGGTAGTATATTCGTGTTCGTGTGGGTTGTTGGATATAAATCCAGAGTCACGAGCACGAGGAAAGGAGACTTTGTGTGCAATCAGCATTCAGTGAACGCTGATGACGGTAATCCCACCGGAGCTGAAGAGGAGTGTGTCGGAAGAAGAAATGGTACGCTGGGTGTGTGTGTCAGCCTTGGTTCACCGTTCTTAAAGGCAAAACGGATGGGGAAAAAGGCCAAAAAACAGAGCGAAAGGCTCAAGAAATAAGAAATGGGTTTATTCTTTGTGATGATGAAGAAGTGTCATGTCGCATTATAATTAAGCATATAGGACACAAATAAATATAAGTAACAGTGGTTTTATTATATTTTGTAATAGTTGATAACACAAAATATAAGTTATGGTCTCTCAACCTTTTCAAACCATTCGGTTCGCTCCTTAAAGTCTCCACTATGACACACAAATGGAGGTGTGAAGTAATTCACCGGGTTGGGTGCGTCGTTGTCGAATATGATGAAAGGTCCGGCCTCGCCTAAATCATACGCCTTCCTTGCCAAATCCTTGTGGATCCTTATCCCGTAGTCTTGGTTTAAAACTATTACGTCTGATGAGCTGTCTGCCATACCGAACAACATGTGCTATAATTAAGAACAAAATAAAACAATTTACAAATTACTACCAGACATAATAGTAAATATGATTTGGCTAAAATGTAAATCAACAAAATCTTACAATATAGTAACTCTCGACCAACTCAGCCTCATCTTTGTCCTTCATGGGTAGAGCTATGCATTCGAATATGCGCCGGTTGTTGATGTAGGTGTCACGTACGGGTGAAGGTCGGTCTATGGGGTGGATGCGTGCTCTAGGTGGACCTGATGCGGAATGGTTTCCGAAATACCATTCTTTTTCTTTTATAGTGGAGGATTGTTCGGAGAGTAATTCCCACACTTCTTGTTCCGATTTGCCGACAATCATTCGCTCATCAATACAAACGAAAAGATAAAACACGTTCTGCAACATGCTGCGGCGATACTCTAAATTTTTTTGGTTAACGTTTGGGTCTTCGTTATATTTTTCACGTTGTTGACGTAATTCTGCTGCGTATACCATAGGGTCCTCTCTTCGTAATTCCTGTTCTAATTTGTGCTTTCCGGACAAATTTGCTTTTCGATGTCTTTTCACAAAACTTTCAGCATGAGCATAGTTTATCAAGTGGGGCTTATCTGAATTAACACCATTATCCATAACATAGTGAGATGTTAAACGTCGAGGTGACCCTGGTTTCTCACAAAGTTTCCACACTATTTTGTCAACCGACACGTCTGACCCGGCTTCTTGCAGTTTTGTGGCTATATCTTGGCGTGCAATCCGATTAGGCAATGAACCAATGTCAAGTAGTACTTGATAGTGAGGTTCATTCACGTCACGCAGTTCCGCTTCGGTCACATGTCTGATTCGTGACACTATTTGTTGTTGAGTAACAGCAGCAGCAACAGAAACAGCATCAACAGCATCTAATTGAGACGATGGTAGGCGACTTTGTTTGCGGATCTTGGGTGGTGGGGTATGGTTTGTGATAGTTCCAAGTGGTCGTCTTGATTTGGAAACTTCTTGGTCGGAGGGGTCGTTTTTGTGAAGAACACTGTAATAATAAAATAAATATCGGACTATCATCACATTTGGAAAATTCCGCACGAACATTGGCGCTAGATCATAATATTTGGGTATTTATTGTTTCATTTATTTACTTCTTTCTTAAAACAATCTTGCTACTTTGGCCCCTTGTCTCATTATCATTAAATTGACGACTCGATTTTACAATAATTCCTGAGCGTCCCAATGTCTTCACATCACCATCATCAAAGACGACCGTATATTGAGAACAATCTTGAATTTTGGAGATGGTTGCCTCACTGTAGAATCCGGTGACGAAATGTTTTGCCTCCACCGTTGCGCCGACTCGCCATGTTCCTCTCACCTCGTCCGAATTGACGGTAGCCACTAATCCGGATTTGAACAAAACCTGTTACAGATAGAGAGAGTATAAAAATTAAATTAAGCCACAATTAAATATTTTTATAATAATTTACCTTGAATTTCACGACTCGATCAACTTCCGTTATCTTTGCTTCACAAAATGCCCCCTTGAACTTTGCAGAGACTTCTGTCCCCTCGGTGAGGTAAGGTGAGTTATCCTACAAAACAAATTACAATTTTAGTTATTAGTTAATTAATAATTTAATTAATTAACTCACCATTATTACTTTGATATGGTATGACGACGAGCAGTAAATACCGCAGGTGGTTTATTAAACCCGGTTCATGTGGGGGCACTGTGATACCTCCACAGATGCATCCGTTGGTGGCTAAGCATGGTAACAACCCCTTGAGTATACATAGCCACAGCAATATTAGGAACAACTTGGAAATTACACGTCTCTCTCTCGTAGAATCTTTGGTAGTCTGTCCATATCAAACTCACCCAGAGTTTCTGGTCCACGTATGTCATCACAATAAGAACGTATTCTCTGAGCGATATTCATCTGCCAGCCAGCCAACAACAATCATTGTTGTGTTGTGGTGTGTGGGTTCGGATAATGGAAGCAGTGATGATGATGGTGGTTGAGGTTTCCTTGTAGAAGAAGCTTGCAAGGTGTTTCGGTTTTGTAGCTCGTGTAACAAACTGCTTCAGCTGGAGAGAGATGAGAGGAGGCTTTTTCCCTGTCGCAATTACCACTATGCTACAACCGGAAGGACCCAAAAAGACAGCACCATCATAAACCCGAGCCAGAACCATTATCAGGTAGACCCCCAAAATATTGCATAAAATACAACCAGTCACCATATCACTCGGCCGAGTTACTGTTAATGGTCGGTACTCGGCCATTAGCAAATTATGTCTTCAACGAGTGTGAGAGGAATACCAATACAAAAGTCAACTAGGTACATACATAGTCCATATATTGTAATATCGCATGATGTCCGTAGCAAATATTATTCAAGGTTTGGGGTGAAATATCTACTTGGTCCAGATTATCATATTTTCAAAAGTCTCAGCGAGAGGTTCTGCTGCTGGGCCGGGAGAACTTTGGCTGGCATTTGCGTTGGCATTTGGGCCGTGGAGAACTGGGTTTCCTGTGGACTTTCTCATGGTGGTTACCACGAGAGCGTCACTTCTTATTCTCCACCGACGAGCAAAGCTCAAGGAAGCGTGATTCCCATCTCTCAGCCCCACACTCCTCTTCATGAAACCGCATTGCATCACTCCAGCGCATCTCACTCTCTCGCACAGCAGTATGTACAATTTTCAAATTATTTGCAGCTGCTCGTATGTGTATACATAACATTATGTGTACGTACGTACTTCAGACTAGTTTCCACCTGTGTTTCTTGTAAATCTTTTGAATCTCTTCATTCAGTTGAACTTGAGGGGACTTGGATTTTGCGTGTCTCCCGAGTGTGTGGTTGTAACACGTCGTTTTCTGACAAGTGGTTGGCTAAAAAGTCTCAGTTAATAAGCCGATCGTATGTAATAATGTGCAGCATTATTATTATGAATGAAGCCCAAAGATTGGAACCCAAATCCGTCCATAAAATGAACCACAAAGTCGAAAATCGTATCCGATTTTGAGGCACACATCAACATATGGTATGTATGGTTGGTGTGGGCCTGTTGGAAACGTGCCGAGAATAATTTATGGTCATGGATCTCCGTTCCAGTGGTGTCGAATCACCACCACCAAGAGATTCTGTGATATCGGAACCTAAGCCTCGCGACTTTTCAGTTCTTGCGGGAGGGATGTATCATAATAATTCACATTCCCTGCCTGATCACATCGGCCCCAAAATGATCACATTGGGTGGAAATTGGGTAAAGTGCAACGTGTCATTATTGGTGGTGGCAGTGGACAACGCCTCTACAACACTCGTAGCAACAAGCCCATTATCTTTCGGGCTGATGAGATAGATGAAGGGCTTCCACGACCATTCATGAAATGGGCTGATTTTCCAACCCAGCGTCCCATGGTCACCCACACATATGGACACACACACACACATAAGTACATGAGATCATGCTGGACGAGATGAGAGAGAGGAAGGGTGAGTCAAACAACTCTGTCATTAATTTACTCGCAAGAAGCAATATCCGATTCAGCTAGGCAGGAGGGAGGACTGGAGAGAGGGCGAGAATGAGAACACAAAGGATGACAAGAGTGCGGACGGAGCGGAGAGTCGCAGTGTGGCGTTGTCCACTATAAATAAATTCCAGTTGAACCAGGAAGAACAACGAACAACGGTGATCTCTGGCCGGAGTCGGTCTACTCCTACTCTCCGTCTTGAACCTTTTCCCTCTTTCCCTTCCCCCGTCATAATAATAATACCACAGAGAGCGACGGACAGGGCGAGGAGGGATTATTTATTCCTGTTCTCGTACCATGATGACGGTGCGGTGCATCGTGGTCGGAGAAAGAGAGAACTTCATTTCGTATTCTCACAGCCTTCGATTTTTCATCAAGAGAGAGAGAGACGACACCCTCTCACTAGTCGCATTCGACATCCGTCGTCCCCATCTATTTACATTTACATCAGGGTAGCCCACCAAGCATCCTCCAGCTCGAATACAAGGGGGAAATAGCCCATGAAGGAAAATAGTTCACATAATCCTATGACAAATCCTTCTCTCAGATTTTAATGGACCGAACCTCTCCGTGTGTGGAGCTCAAGTAGTCGCAGCTAGATGAAGGTTAACTTGATTCATCCGTTTGACGAAATGATCCTTGACAAAAGTGACACTGTTCGCTATCTCGCATTCGAATGAGATGCAACTGAAAGGGAGAGAGACGAGCAAGTCTTTTTTTCTTTCTTTAAATCATCCAATTTGCCCCACAAAATTGGAAATTACAGACATCAAGCCCCCACTCCTGCGTCGAAAGGCTTCAAGTGCAAGTTCAAACAACAGTTCAGTTTTTGTTTACTCTTGGTGATTTAGATTTTGAACAAACGGTGGTTGATGATGTTGATCCAATAAGTCACAAAGTATTTTGAATATCATTTGCATGTTCATTGATGTCGACTATTACAACAGATACTTAATATACGCCGTCATGATGATGTGATGCAAGTGGGGTAAAAGTAATAGCAAATGCATTCAGCTTCTGTTGTAAGTAAGAGGTGAGATTGGCGTCAGCTCCAGACCCGAATGACAACAATTTTACACACCTAAATACACGTAACATCTTGCTCATGCTAATACAATGCTATGCACTTTATGTACATATATTCGTGCATATTTTTTCACAGGCCGATTTCTCCATTTTGGCTCGGTCTCCGTCTGGGCCAAGATATTAGTCTGAAGTCACGACACTTTATTTGGGAACTCTTATTTGGAAAATCAAACCGGTTTTTGTGGACGGTTGTGAGGTGTCAAGGGATCAAAGAAGGGAACTAACAACTCGTGGTAAATAGGAAGTCCTTGTGTTGTTTGTAATGTGGGATCACCGCAAACCCGAGCATTCATGCAACTCTGCGTATATTTAGGTTCACAAAGGCCCACCGCCATCATCGACACCTTAAAGTGCTGAAGGCGCAGAGCAATAAAAAGATGAGCCGGTGGAGTGTGATGTGGAATCCGTCCCGTTAAACTCAAAAACAACTTTCTACATTTTTCGTCCGACTCTCGCTCACCAGACTTGGCCAACATATCCTAAATTCATTTTTGACTCCTTTTATTATCACTTAAGCCACTCAGGACTGGATAATAGGCGCACATACACATATTTTATTTAGAAGAATGCACCAGTAAAGTTTTTGCCTTAGATAATTTCGAGGTTTTATGTGCAGCGATTTTCTAGTTTATAAGGAGGATATCTACCTAAATGTCAGACTTTAAAGAAGCATTATGTATGTATAATCACTTTAACCTTATCGCTTCTATCTAATCTCTTAGCATCATAATTAGTTAGAGAAATTGAAGGATACTTTGCTCATGCTTGTTGGTGCGACATAAGTTTCTCAACAGATTGAAAATTTATGCACAGTAGTATTTTAAAACTAGTAAAAATCTAGAGATGCAATGGAATAATACATGCGTAAGAAGGCATGAAGGAAGAAAGAAAGGAAAGTGTCAAACCTTGACCGAAGTGGGGACGTAGAGATCAGGCTCATTCGGGACAAGATGTTGTAGTGTGCCACGCTCGTCCTTCACACAAAGCTGCCCAGACGGTGGTCCAATATGAAATCCTGGAATTTGTATGAAAACAAAGAGATTAATAATAAATTACCAGAGACAATGAGCGACGGGGAGAGAGTGAAGTCGAGAGAGAGCGAGGAGGGAGGGGGGACAGCAGTCAGGAAAAACTTTACCTTTGGCTTTAACCCAGAACCTGAACTTTGAGTTTTCTGCGTTATTTATCTCCTCTCCTTTCAGCGTCCTGTAAAATTTCAGAGTTACGATTAGCACTTGCATACCCAAAATAATTTAAGACACAAGTGGGTGGCGGAAGTTTGTTTTTAACTTATTGAATGTATGTATGTATTTTTAATGGTAAGGAGTGGGAAGGAGAATCACTGGTCTGTAGTAATCCAAATTAAGGACCAAAGGTCAAATGTATCAAATGTATTCATATCCATTTAAATAAATACATGTGTAGTTCATTACCTCACAATTCTATTGTATTTCTTCTTGGTGATTGTCTTGGTCTTGGCCGAATCTCCATAAGTTGAGAGGACCCAGGGTTGGAACACTTGGAACATCTCCTTCCGTGACAGCTTTGTGAGTCCTGTTGGAGGATGCATTTGCTGTTTTGGTTGCGTTGTGGGCTTTAACGGGCTCCCGGACTTTCTCTTGGACCCGGCTCCACTTCGACACTCCATTCCCCACACGGGCTTGTTTCTTCCTCCTTTGCTCAAAAGGCCTCCAACAGCAGCACCACTTCGAGTTGTACTGCTGCTGGTACTGCATGTTTGTTGTGGTTCTTCCTCACCTCCACCGGCGTCACCACTCACACACATCCGGTCAAGGTCAGTTTTTCGACATGTGTCGTCCCCTCCAAGAATGTTTTGGTGAATGCTGGGCTGAGTAGATATTAATCCATCTGTTTCTCTTTCCATTTCCATTTGATCCACGGAAGAAGGATTTGTTGTCGAGTTGTTGGAACTTTGAGTCGTCGAAGAGTTATGGTTGTTGCTCAATCCCGGAAATAGCGTGTCGATAGAGTATCGGGAACAAGCCCCGTCTCGTGAGCGGCGTGCACGGTCTCCCATCTCACGCCCTTTAAATGTTCAGTATGGAGAAAAACGAAGTATTACTAACTATACTTATCAACGTATCTATGAGAGTATGTGGCTGCTAAACTACGACAACACACTGACAGATTTTTGTGGAGTACAGTTCAATGCGAGAACAGATCAGAGTTTCTCTCCTGTCTCATTTGTCCCATCCGACGACCCGACGATACAAACAGGAGAAAGATAGACAGGAATCTCATCATGACAGGCAGCTCAGGAGTAGCGTCCATATAAATATACATGGGACATGTATCTATACCTACGTATAAACCAATCCAGGACGATGAAGAATGTTGAAATCTAGTTTTGGGCCGTCATAAATGTAACACTTTTTTGCACACAAGCAAGTAATGTTGTTAGACACGTTTTCACTCCACTTGAGTTCCCAAAACAAGAAATCTGTCCAGAAGCGTATGGATGGCGTTGATGAAATGAGCACACACGAAAATAAATGTGCTGTTGTTGCTCAAGACCAAAAAAGATGAGGAGGAGGCGAAGGAATGAATGTACCACTTAAAAAGCGATTCTTCCAAAATTGTTGATTGTGACTGGAACTGGTCGTCCTGCAACAGGATAAAGATGAATTGCCCTCAGCACAAAGTAATGGGAAACTGATTCAAATGTATCCATGTAGTTGGAAATTAGACACACCCGGCCGTGACAGTGACTAAAGTATAAGAACACACAGAAGTGATTTCAAATTTTTTTTACACATGCATCCCACATACGTCCTGAGCATACTCCTTTTCACAGTCGCACACACTGTGTATGTAAGCATACGTAACTTTGTGTGTTGGAGATGGAGAGGATTTTTTACATGTACAAACTTTTTGGTGCTGCTCGTTAACAGGATGCAATTGTCAACCAGAGCCAACCAACATCCATTCAGTCCAACAAAGACAAAGTTATATCATGGAAAATCTCACCACACAATTCAGCCAGAGCACATACATAACTCGTCCAAACACTTGTTACAATATTCAGTGCTTATAGTCGTGTCTCCGGCTTATGCCTCCTCTCGCTCAGGACCTCGACAACCAACACTCTTCGTCCGGCTATTAACAAATTACACATTCACTGATATTCCTGCATCCGCAGGACCGGAGCGAAACAAGAATTTCTCACGTTCCCTGCTTTTAACGTCAATTCGAGCACAATATCATCCAGCACGTCCACTGGTCTCACAACACAACAGGGGACCGGCTTGTGAATCTTGTTCAGATAACGACAATTTCGACAATGCTGATATGTAAAAACCAAACTAATGAACGGACTCCTCTTCTTCTTGCCGTCATCGTTACTAGCCCAGCAATTTGTTGAGTAGTGTGACTGTGTGAAAAATGAGACTCTTGTGACTGATATTTCTCGACGAGTAGTGGCAAACGAACTGTCCACCTCGGTGGCAAAATTATGTGTAATAAGAGAGTGAATGAGTGGGGGATGGATAGGCAAGAAAAGTGTGAAAGAAGAGTTGGAAGGTTAGAAGGACGTGCTGCAAAAGGCAGAAAATGCTCGTCCGCCTTTGGGATTTGGGATGATATTATTATGGATTGTAAATTGGGAATGGTTTGTTGGAGTATGGACATGGAAATGGGATGGAAGAAGTAAGGAAACACGAGTCAGAGCTGGTCTCCCCTTGGCAGAAGCAGTCGTGGTAGTATTAACATCCGACCGAGCTCCATGAATGGTATCAACGTACTGAGACAGAATCCTACCCTACAGACAAAACTGGTGGAAGTGGTGGAAGAAGGAGAGTTCTAACCTTGTTTCACAGACGGATGAACATAATGTAGCGGAATGGTTCGGGCCGACAGCAAAAACACTTGTTGGAACTTGTTACACACCAACCACCACGATAATTTTAGACAATTAGGATGCTTAGTAAAAAAAGTACTTATAATGTTAGGTCCAGAAATATACACGATGCCGGGGTTCACCATTTACATATCTGATTCCTGATAAAATCCATCGGCATCAGGTCCACAACGGGCCCTTTTCCTGTGCCAACATGCTTCTTCATACGTACATAACTAAATCGGTAGTATAACCCTTTGCGATCAGATACGCACGGATGCAAAATACATGAGCAATTCGTCTCATGAAGTGGTACGACGGAAAGAGCTGCATAATATGAGAAATTGTGGTTGAGGTTGACATTTCATTAGAAGCGATAGGATATCCTCTCTCTCAAATCCAGTTACAACCTCGACACCACCCAATCCTTAATTCGGTGCGGAGAGACAAGATAGATGGATAACAAGAAATTGAGTAAAAACTGAGAATAATCTCACCTTCGCGACTCTGACTGAATCACAACCGATTGGAAAGAGTTGGAATTCTTCTGGCCCCGTTGTTGGCAGTTGTGCTCCTCTCTCTCGCGGAGGTAGTTACGTATGCAGGAACGGTTGCGAAAGAAGGAGCTAAGGATGGTTTGAGTATTCTCCAGTGAGACGGATGGAGAAGTGTTGGTTGGCTAATAAAGGATAATGAGGTTGGAATGGAAGAGTTTTCCTTTCTCCTGCCTGTCAAACCAGCAGCTCTACTTTCTCCCCCAGTCTCCTTACCAGCCAGCTCTCCGTCCTCACTCACTACGGCAACCGTAATGGGAAGAGAGAGTCAAGGTATGGTGGATTTGTACGCTGCTATTATTACTACACTGCTGCCTCCTCCTCATCTATGTGTGTGCGTCTATAGGTTGCCTTGCCTGTCCGTGTGAGACAACGACGACGGGCCCAGCAATCCCGTCCCAACTGCCACTTGGTACTTTCACTTGGGTGAATTGGCATAGGAGAGAGATGTTGTTGGCACTTGGTTGGCGTTTTGGTTGACTCCAGACCACGACGGTCTCTGTTCCTGTCGCATGATCCGGATGGTTGGCACTCCTCCGACCAGTGGTGGTACAAGTGGGAGAAAGTAGATGCGAGTGGGAATGAATGTGGAGGTGGAAAAGGCGCAACGGACGGGACAAAAGCAGCAGCAGCAGATGCGGGTTCTCGTTCCTATCATCCAACTACTGCGACTCGTACAGTATTTCTGCCCCGGATACGCTGAGGATACGCTCACCCGCAAGACTCCAGCGAGCGAGGGAGACAAAGAAGCCGGTTCGTTGATTTTGGCTCACTCACTTGGTCCGGGTGCCAAAGAGCCAGGCCAAAGTGAAGGAGTGAGAGTTGTGTGGTTGGTGGGATAGAAATTGTAGCCACGTATCGTACGTACGGAGCAGGCAGATTGCTGCTGGTTGGGGAATGGTTATTCGAGAGAGGGAGAAAGTACGGCAGCATGAACCATGGAGACCAGTGTGGAGAAGATACCTTTCTACTCTCTTGGGCGAGAGTGGGAGAAAGAATTAGGTTGGCCTGGCTGAGACATGATGGTGGAAGTGGGAGAAATGCTGAATTCGGGGGTCTCGCTTCTTCCTACTCTCACTTCACGGACAAGTTTTCAAAGAAAGACGGCGTCCTATGCACCAACTACAGAATGATTCTGGCTGCTCGAGAACGGGATAATGCCGCAGATGGAAAATTACTTTATTGTGGTTCGGGAAACTGGTAGCGGTTACAAAGAGAGTTGCAAATTACTTGGGTAACAAGCAAACTAAACTATGTGTTGTGCTGTGGTGCGGAGTGCGGCGTGCGGCCGATACATAGAAATTTGTACATTTGTACGCAGCAAACGCATTAGAATTGCTTATAATGACGAATTATCTGCATATATTCTCGAAATATCAGTTATAAACTTATCACAAATCACTATGTAATTAGATAGTTTCCAAAGTTTATAATTTGAGGTGAATTTTTTCCGGACTCTGCATACATATTTATGCAGGTATACTTTACTACTGGTAGTTAGTATGTAATTTAAGTTAGTCTCTATAACTCGTATTCATTTATATTTACCTCCTACATTTGTATATGTGAGGTACTCTTGAGTTCAGGAACAATTACTTGAAACAATGACATGAAGGGTTTTTTTCTTAATATTTTGCCAACTTGAGATAAGGCGAGTGCAAAGAGGTTCGTTCATACATGACTGGTTTGGACTGCAATACTTGTTTGAAGTCATTTCCTCCACTACTTCAGTGTCATCATGCTTGCTTGAGCAGTTGAACTGTGTATACTGCTCATGATCCAGTCTGTCCATCGTTCATGTCCTTATCAAATTGCCCAAAGTAGGAAAAAGCTGGTTGTATCTGGTTTAACTCCACCTTAACTGTAAATTCAGTTAGCAACCAGATCGGACCCCAATGCATGCACCCAGTACGAGAACGAATGCATCAAAGTAATTCACAAACAGGACAGGCCACCACGGATGATATGATGATGATGGGACTGACTCTTTTTCTGGCCGAACTAACACTATGAACAAGATCCCTTCCGTTCACAATCTCCAACTGAACCAGAGAAAATTCATATGTACAAAACATATCATTATCATCGCTATGAATTGTTATTACGTTGACGAATTTAGTCAAGCCGTACAAATCGCAGATCTGCCACTGCGTAACCTAACCTATATATGCGTGTAATATATTTTAGTATATTCGAGTATGCGTTATAAGTCATATTTTTATTTAGTTAGGTTTCTGAAAAGTAGCAAAAAAGTTTATCCAGCAGCAATCTGCAACTGGTGTCCAATAAGTCTCGATGAAGCCGTTTTGTTGCGAGCTCACCTTTCACCTTTCCTACAAACAAGGGTGAAAGGAAAATAGGAAACGCGACTCGTTTCTGTAGCAGTATTTACATGCACTTCGCATTGGGGGGTTGTCCTGGGAGATGGGAGATTCATCTCTCAGGGCAACCCTCGAGTAAAAATACCTTGACCCGATACGGAAATTTCTGCACTATGTCGGCAGTGATAGGGTTTGGGAAAAAGGAGATGCTTACACTTCCTTTGGTTGAGTTTTATGTGTGTACATTTGTACACGATGCTGTGTGTGGAGTGCTTAATTTATGCCCCCAACGTCACCATCAGGCTGGTCATGAGACGGTGAGAAAGAGCGTGTTTTGTGGGGTTCAGCACTTTCAGCTCTGAAAGCAGGAATAGAGTGAAACCTAAGCGAGGAAGATTATATGGCCAAAGTAAACTCGGTGGGTCGGTCGGTCGGTTGGGGAGGCGAATCTTTAACCCGTGTCGAGGAGCTCTGATCTGTCAACTCAACCACGGCGGCGGTGGAAAGTATAAGCTGATTGTGAGCTCCGACACATAAGTGGCAATCCCTTCCATTTTCATCAGCGTCGAGACGCCCAGAAACTCTGACAACGGCAAACCAGGCTGGAATGAGATATGATGCGACGACGACTGTGACTCACCCATCCCATCAACATCCACATCATGTTTCCTGAAGCCTATTGATTTTCGCAGCTCTCTTGTCCCTAACCAGCCACAGGATTTGACACTTGTATGGCAAACTCTTCATTTCATTAGAAAAGACCCAATACAATGCACACACATCCCGCATGGACATCAAAGGTTGGTGTGTCTGCCCCATAATGGAAGACAGCAGTTATTTGCATGGTCACCCTCGATTTAGCAAAAACAATTGGAATTGGAGTAACTTTTCGGCCTTTAATTGTATTTCCTTATGCTCCACTGCTTCATTCTCAATTTTGGTGAATTTGTTCTTGGCATTGCTCGTGTAGCACAACACTATGTTAAGCTATGTTGATACGCAAAAATAAGAAATATTCAAGTATGTGTATTGGGATGTTTTGATCAAAGTTTTTAATTTGTTCAGCCTAATAAATAAGAAAAATCTCATTGCCAGTAGTGTACCAGTATCATCATCATTGCATATTTGTACATATTTATGTATGTATGTATATGATAACATGCGAGATGATGTCATCCAGATTAATTTTAATTCTGCGACAAACACCATTTAAGCAGTATTGGAGATAAAATAAGCAGGATTATCTATTTTCAATTTGCATGGACATTGATTCTCCAGTTTTATCCGATTCAATCTGGCTTGATGCAAGACATCCAGATTTTTTAATGATGAATACTTTAAGTTTCACTCCTTCGTGATCTTGTGATTCAGTGATCAGAAGTCTCATAACATTCGAGGACCATATTCCAGTTGTATATTCATTGCATATACTTGAAAAGCTTGCTTTATCGACTGGCAATTTTAACCATGCAATTACATTCTATTAGCGCAAACCTCATGAATGGTATATGTGTGTAAAGGAATGGATAAGAGCTCCTTCTCATATCCATGCTTATAAATGTATGTACATAAATGTATAAATATAATAAGCTAAATAGTTTGTGGCACACAAGTTACAAGTGTCAAATTTCATGAAACTATTTTCGGAACTCTGTAGGCAGACCCGTATTATTACTACTTCAGTGCGAATGTGCCATTAGTCTTTATATTGGATAGTCTGTAGTTTTTTAAATGTATTGTATGTCAAACTATTATTTCATCGGAAAATATATAGAAATTAAAAGAAAAAAAAACATTCACGATAGTTCGTTCAAGGTTCGTCCACATATGAATTTCTGTCTGTTATGATACCTGTGTTGAAACATGCCGTTTAAGTGAATGGAATTAGACCACTAATTTATTCGGTAAATTTGAAGCAGAAGTCCGAAAATCACAAAATATGCGGAGTGGTTAAGAAATGGAGTCATGCCTATGGGTCAATGGGATCGTTGATGCAGAATCTTTCTCATGACAGGATAACATTCGGGATATTGGTCGTAGATATTTGCTTACAAAACAAAGAATAGTAATTCATAACCACAAAATTACTTCTCACCTCTACTAGTTTTCTGAAGATTGTCTGAGAAAGTTGAAGTTTGAGATGGGTATAGTGATCACACGACAATGGGAGATTAAGTTATTAAAATTTGTGTTCTCCAAGGGCCATCAGAGCTACCCATGCCGATTTTAGTTTAATAAAGTATTAGCCGATCTTAATAAGGGTTGAATAAATAAGACCTAGTACCAAAACTATCTATAGTTAGCTAACAATTCAAACTCTCGTTGGAGTAAATCCTGACCCGATGCATTTCTGAAAAGCTGTCTGACTACTAGTAGAGGTTTATTTTATATGTATAATTATCCTTGTTAATGATTTTCCCATTTGCAGATCGTTGTATTGATATTAAAATTGTACATGTCCTTGTTTTCGAATTTTCGTTTATATGCTTCGGATTATACGAAATTTCGGATATTAGGTTAATCAAAATAAGCAATTTATTAAGAGGATAATAACAAGTAATTGTGTTACAATAGTCAGTTGCGTAAACCAGCTGCATACATGATGCACTGATAAATATTCATTGTCCAATAAGAATCCAAACAACCAATACATCAAGATTAGAAATTTTGGGGAAAGTTGGCTGATTGGCTGACGCAGGGTTGTTACATGGTCCATCATCACTTGGGCACCTTCCAGTTTACCCTGAATTTAAATTGGTCAAATTACTATAGACAGGTAAAATTGCATTTATCATTAAGGTAAGAAGCTGGTCATCATTTACCGGTCATCATTTCGATGAACTCATTAAAGTCAACAGTCCCCGAGCCGTCCTCGTCAATCTCTCCCACGATTCCATCCAACTCTTCGTTGGTCAATTTGTCATCCAACTCTCGGAGAATCTCCTTCAAGCTTGAAGTTGGGATGTAGCCGTTCCCTATAAAAAATATAGTTTTTTGCATGATCAAGGCTCACTTGTGTGTGTACACATGTTTTTGAATGGGGGGTTGAAGCATAAAGTGATCCGGTCGCGGTATTATTATGATCTCTTTACTTGATTTTTGCACCAATGCGCAATTAATCTTATCCGTTTAGATAAACAGAGACATTTCTTAGCGCCCTTTCCAACCAGTTTAATTCTGATACCCATGACTGCATGAAATATATATTTAGCAGCATGTGTTAAGCTTGCATGACCATAATATGCAGATTTCATTTTATAAACAAAACCAGGACATGCTGACTTGTTTGCATGCCTCATTCAGCATCCTATTTAGTCTACTACGAAGAAGCCCAAGTTGTGCAATTTCTCATGCAGTGCAAGGAAGCGAGAGGATCCATGTTCCTAAACCGATAACAGTCAGCAACAACTCTCTCGGAGTTGATGCGTTGACTGACTCCAACAAGTATTTCTTCGGGACAAGCTACGATTCATTTTAAGATCAAACATATTACACTTTATGGCAGCGTACGAGGCTGGATAGATTCATCCTTGATCTATAACGGTTTTTTTACTTCTTCCTCATGCTTTTCCACATTTAAGAAATTACTCAGACCATGTGGTACATGTGGGAATCATGACAGCAAAATTTACAGCACTACTACTGATCCAAAACTGAGAGTAAATGGAAATACGTAAGAGAATGTTTACATGTAGTGCGTCCATTGAGCAGGCATATATGCAAAAACATGCGATCCCAAGTAGAATAAAATTGAATATTTAAAAGCATAAACAACTTTACTTGAAGTTATTTAACTCGCCTGCTTTATCGTATAACCGAAACGCCTCCTTCAACTCCTTTTGGAGTGTTTCCTCGTCCTCCTCCACAATAAATTTTGACGCCAAAATGACAAATTCTGTGAATTCAATTTGTCCAGACCCTAAGGAGTATTTAAAAATAGTTTAAAAATTAATTTATGCTTCCAAAAATCCTCTTGTGTGGGATTACCATCCTCATCCACTTCAGCAATAAGTTCTCGAAGCGTTTGTTCGTTAAATGCTTGTCCCATCACTCTTAGAATTGTTCCAACCTAGCCGAATCAAATTACTTTATGAGTTATACATAACTCATCGGATGGATTAAGTAAACTATCAAGAATTTGAGTTGGGAATATAACATCAAGTAAGCTCATTGACTGAAGCCACGTATGCAACATGCATGTCTCAGAACGCCTCCCGCGTCATAATTAGTTTCTCGAACTGTAGAATTATAGACTAAAAAATGTGTAGACTGGGTGCAGAAAATATTTAATTTTTCAAATCATTTAAAGGTGGGTTCAACTCATGCTCAAGGCAATTATTACATTAGATTGATTTGAGTACTTGCCATTTCGGGCGTTATGTAGCCCTTTCCTTGTGCAAAACTGTCAAAGGCTTTCTGCAAAACTGTTTTTTAACCATCCTTTGTTACTGGTTTTTATAATATTTTTTTGCAATAACATAGTGAAATAAATGAAACTACATATAAATCCGGCTTACTTGCAATCTGGTCCTTGTCCAACTCCTCACCCTAATTTCAACCATTGTGACAATTTTATGTTAATAAATCCAAAAATAATTCATGTAATTAACAAGTAATCTTAAATATCCTTACCATGATGATTATAAGTGATTTGGATAAGCGAATCTCCTTACGTCAAGAGGAGCAAGTTGAACGGATGACAAGCTAATGATAACTGAACTTGGCTTAATAAATGCAAAATAGGATCAACTTTAGTCAAGAAAAAAAAACATTTCCTCAAAATGTTTAACACTTGGTCTCTTCTCGTTCATACTCCCTTAAAATTGAAGAAGTGGGAGGGATCGGGTCTGGTACTAGAGGCGATAAACGTTGATGATGATGGTATTACATCAACCTACAGAATATATGCATATGGTTAAGTTAAGAATGGATACCATTTGCCACGAAAATTATCTTGATCTGGATTTTCTAGCAATACACACTCTTCGATCCGTATAATGTCTGAAGACCTATTTTTAGCAAAAACATAAACTCAATATTTCCCCACTCGCTTGTCAAACTTCTATAGACATTTAAAGCGATCCGTCCGACATATAAATGTGCTTTTCCTCTGAAAATCCGGATGTAAGGAACTAAATCATTTTTACGTCTATTTAGTGAGACGAAACCGACAAATCCCAGAACATTTATGTCTGAAACCTGTGGTGGTGGTTGTATAGAACGCATATGCAAATACGATCCTACGTATGTAAAAATGTATAATTTGAACTGTATAGGTTTTATTAGGAACCATGCTAAAACATTTTTTCGCGTTTACAACATCTTGAAATTTCATTTTAGCACCAATCAATTTTCAAGTTTTGCGAATGCATGAAAAACTCCCATCATTTCGACGTCAGTCAGAATTAGCTTGCACACATGGCGGTACATATATCGTATTTACATTGTACAGTAATACCAATAAAAACGGGGATTCGTATGAAAAGCAAACTAACAGGCCAGTTAAAAATTTGACTTATGCATTCACTGGTATACGACGGATGTCATTAATAATTTTTGACATATTATACAATACATGATAATTGTTTAGTGGTGATACTGTTAAAATAATGTGGAAAGTATAAGTGTCAACTTAATTTTCTTGTCTCATATCATAAACTGTGTCAACAAAGAGATCATTTTAAGGAGTATGAACGTAGAATGAAATTGCTCCATCCCGTTACAACTTGTTTTTCATATGTCCATTTTCATTAAGACACTCAACCTGTCTGCAAAGTAGTCATAATTGGAACGGAGAAAATATTTCTCATTAGTTTCGTAAAACTTACGATGCACATTTCTTTGCCTGCAGTGATAAAAGAAAAGAGAAAGTACTTTCACTTTTGCATTTGCATTTTCAGTCCACACATTCTTTCCATGAAATATGTTTGCATGTAGTGTTGACATTTTCTATTCAGTATGAATTCCATGCTTGGTTTTTTACCATTGTATGAATGGAAATCGGCTAGCCTCGTAGTACACGAAAAGGATTGCCAGCAAAGAACTCACCCCACTAACAAAGCACCTGGAGTGACTAATGCTGTTGCGTGTGCATTATATCCATCCACACAGGTGCAAGTGGTACAACTCAATACATATCAGCATAGCATCATCACATCATTCTAAACAAACGAGCTACTTTTTTAAGCCGTTGTAACTTTTGTATACGCCTTAATATCACAAAATTTGTTAATTTGTTAAAAATTTAAATAAAATGGCATGCTGAAGGTGTGATGCAGATTTAGATACGTCTATTTAATAAAGCAAACCAAGTGTTCATACAAAATGCCTCCCACCGTTAATTTTGTGTCTTTAGTGTTTTTAACGGCAATCATCTATTTATTCGGTAAGACAAAATTTCGAAACGAAGCTATTAAAGGAATGTAGCATTATTATGGTGATTGGGGTTCAGGGAATGTTGGAGCGTTGGAATGCTATGTCTGCACACAACAGGAAGGAAATGTTGAAAAGTGTCTGTCTACGGTGAGGACTTGTGATTACGAAGAAGACACTTGTTTAACCGAAGTCCGTTGGGGCAGTAAGTAAAGCATCATTTGTATACGCACAAAAATCATTTACGCTAATTGTAAGATCAAAGTGCCAGTGTTTTCATTTCAGCTTTATTTAACCTACTAAATTCTGTTTTCTATCATTGTAATTTTTCAAATTGGTAGAATCCTTCTCAATTTCGACCCAATTATTGTTTCAGGCACTCCATATTGGTCACAAGGAGCTGAAAAGCAATACTATGTGACAAAAACATGTGCCACTAGACAATATTGTGAACAAAGGAGGCAAGATTTTGTAAGTTACTGTCACCGAATTTGGTACGAAGATTGGAAGTGTGCAGGTAACATTACTCTTAATGATTATGATTTTAATGGTCGAAGAGCTGGATTTACTTAAAATTTAACTTTGCATAAACAGAATGCTGTCAGGGGGATCGGTGTAACTACTTTGCCTTTGTGAGTTCTTTCTCCGTTATACATGCTATCGTCTCAAGGTGTACTATCTAAATTACTAATGCAATGAATTACTATATGCAGATGGGAGCTGGAACAACCTCCCTAAACCTTTCAGTGTTTATTTTGTCCCTCTTGCTTACACTGAAGGAATACTTTCACTTGTAGTTCGGAGGTTCGGACACCAAAATTATAATTAGTGAGAAAAAAAACACGTTTGGTTGGCCAAGAACAATACGCTCAATGAGTGAACTGTATGATGGTGAATGAATGATTTTAATTCTTATTTTGTGTTTAGGTATCCAAAAATCTCATTGCCTACTGTCCCGGAGATAAATACATATAAATATGTATAGCTTTACAACGCCTGATTTATACAGAATTTCTACTTTTACATAATGTAGCAAAGTACAATACATGACACTTAAATTACAGATTCTCATATTTTATATTCCAAATCATTGTATTTATTACTTCTGGGTTTGTCCAGTAATTCAACCTTTGGAGAATAAATTATAAAAAAGAGATACACAATCTAGTAGACATATGTAACAAGTATTTACCAAAATGACAATTACATTTACAGCACGGCGCATTATATATGTACTGCATTAATGTCATTCCTATTCTATGGCATTAATATACAAAACAAACTGCATCCATGCAATTGATTAGATTGCTTTGGTCCTCTTTGGACTGAATTTATTCATAATAGACGAATATTTTTCACCTCTAATTAAATTGTTGCTCCAATTTTGAAGATTAATTCAATTGAGTTTATTTATAAGTTATAACACATTCAGTTATGAAATTTCAGTTTAATTCTATTTATAGAAGTTTCTCTTTCGAATGATCACAATATAATGAGTGCTGTCTCGTTTACTACTTCAAAAGGATTTTTAGTTCCTGATGAGCAGCACAAGTAGCTCAATTAAAACTCATCTTGACAATTATATTTTAATATTTCACTTGCAATGTTTAATTTAAACGGCTATGCAAAAAAATTGCATCTTCTCCTCAACCTGTTGATTTGGACCAATGTGATCATGGACGGGTATACCGTTTTAGGGGTATATTCTAAATTTTAAAAAATTGCAAACTCAGTCTTATAATGCTAAATTTTTTATAAAGTAGAATATCGGCGTGACTCAAACAGCTTCTCAAAATAAGCTAAATTCCCAAAATGGGAAGCCTCGAAATCTTGCGAATTTTCTAAGCGGAGGAAATAATTTGGGAAACGGTGGATTACGTAAATGTTTTTTTTACAATTTAATATTTTTAAAGACTACATGTAACTTTACTACGAAATTATGAAATTAGAAATATGTATCTACAAAACTTCATCCCACTATAAGCCATTTTTTAGTGAATGTAAAACTTTTATGTATGTATTTTACAGAGAATCAGCATGGTTCTGGTCCTTATTTTTGCGGGCCAATGGTTGGGCGTCATTATATGGTTGGAAGTCAAAATTTTTGTGGAGGATATAATGTAAACGACTGTTCAGCATTGTGTTTTTTCAACAATTTTACATATTTCCAATGCGAGGGTAACATTTGTCATTGTTTTCAATAAATTATTCTGTGACATATACAAAAATTGAAAGGGCTACAAATTTTCTGAAACCATAATTCTATGTATGTTACTTGCATCATTTTATTTATTCGATCGTTTCTTTAATTTTATCTTAAGATTATTACAATCAGGTTTTTCTTTATGTTTCATCAATTACCACTGACTTGGTACAAAAAGTACTTATTAAAATCGAACACCGTTGACACTGTTTGCTGTGTAGGAGACAAAATCAGTTAAAATCTGCAAATCACTTAAAACACAATATGCAGGTTTAAAAATTTAGGCAACATTAAACACGTGTTGTTAAATGCAGTACATAGGTACATGGAGCAACGCAGGAGGGAGGAGGTTATTAATACAACAATATGATTGATGCAACGAAAAAATTATCTAATTAAATGCGAGTTGATGATCCATTGGATTCCTATTATTTTGCACGGCCATTATAATGTTGATGAGGGTTATGATGATTAGAGTTGTTAGTTGTTGGACCATTTGACATAGTGCCGTTCACAGTTGGATGGTTCACTTGTTCTTCATTAGTTTTCCTTAACGTCTTCTGCAAAAAAGAACATAAAATATGTCATAATATTTCATTCACATTACAGAAAACCTTAACCAAAACCATTACAGTTTGCCGAAAGTTGAATAAAGTTTTTGTTTATAGCTTACCTGTTCTGCACGTAACAAAACATGAGCATCTGCAGGTTCAATCCTTTTATAATAAGCAGGTTTTGTTTCCACGATGCTGAATCCAAATTTTTGATAAAACGAAATCGCACTTTCATTGTTGACTTGGACATGTCTGAAAGAAATTACATAATTGTGATTTATGATTACCCAACTCCACTCGTTCGATACCCTCGAGTCAATGCTTGAATTAGTTGTTATTTTCTGACTCACAAAAAGATTGAATCAAAGCTTCCATCTTTTTCTACGTATTGAAGTACATGATCCAACATTAATCTTCCTATTCCTAGTCGTCGATATGGAGCTAGGCATCCTAAAGTCATTATGTACAAGCGTCGTTGACCCTCTGAAAGGTCTATTCTGCAACAAACTCCTCCCACCACGACATCATTGTAATATGCTAAAAAATCACAAACAAAACTATTATACATCCACCACACCACATATGCATTCAAAGAAAAAAATAATTTCTAATAAAGGTAATTGTACCAAGGCGAGCTAGCTCTCCAGCTTGAAGAACGTCTTTGTAAAATTTGTCATTATAGCTGACAGGAAAGACAACAGAGTTCAACTTTTTAAGTTGCTTTATATTGTGGGTAGTCACCTCACCCAGCGCCGTTCTGCCTCCACCCCTGTAAATTTCAAAGCAACAGAATAACTCTTCACTTTTATATCAACGCCACATTACATTTATTCATGGGTAATATATATTTATCATTTATCAGTGTGCTTACAAGGTCATATTTATGTGCCGACGACGGTGCTCCCACTGGGATTGCCAACTAAAAATCTTAAATTTCTAGACTATTCCCAGGTGTAATCGTCACCACAAATTTTCAGATGAAAACTGAACACACAAAGGAAAACAAAGAATGGAGGAGAACGTCTCACTGGAATTGCATCCTCTTGTGGTCAGGGACTTAACTCGTACCTTTGCCCAGTCTTTCAACACTAGTTGTTTTTGGGGGAATATTTTTCAAAAAAATGAGTGAGGTCAGTTGTCGTCGTCGTCAGTAGGCTCTGGTTTGGTTATCCTTAACGCAGGCAAGGAAGAGAAGTGGTCACATAGCTCGTCCTTCGGAGTGAGTTGACTTTACCCGCCCGCCCAGTACCAATGCGGAGGGCAGTTCGAACTTCCAGTCAATGACTCCACTAAAATACCGACGACGAAGACGACACAATTAACTTCTTCCCCTACTTATTGTCGTCGCTGGTAGATAAGACCAGACTCTTATCATTACTGACACGTAAGGTAATGTAGTTTTGAGCAAACGTAATTTGTACATGTTCATCTGTTATTTTTAGTCATAATTGTCGCATATTACAAGACACATAATTAGTCATTATTGTAGGACAAGGACAAGTAAGATTAACTAAAATATACTAAATGCGTTCCTTGTTAATCAAACACAGGTGGTGTCAACAGAGTCGTCAGTCGTGAACTCCCGTTTAAATTTACGTATAACTTACTTGGAAATTACTAGAATCAACCGAAGGAAAGACTTTCGAAAATGTCCCAACAAAATGATGTCAACATGCAGGATGATGAGGTAAATTTGTAGTTCTGTTATATTTCACCATCTATCGAAAATTGTCAACATGCAAACTAGTTAAATCTGACCTTCCTACATCCATGAGAAAGAGGCTGATTTGTAAAGAGCCTCAACCAGTGGGTGGATCAGATACCGCTTAAATTAGCTTGACAACAAACGCTGTAACGAATAGTTATACTCACGAATAGTATAAAATTTTATATAAATGTTATCCTTCTCGAAAAGATTAGTTCCTACATTTTGTCACATACAGATGTCTAAACTCACATTTTATTTTTTTGTACTATTTTGACAATTGACACATAAAGTCAATACAATGGATGATAAGAAAAGTAAAGGGAAACGTGCAAAGACTAAGAAGAAAGTCAATAAAAAGACGGCTAAAGTCAACCCCACCGAAAACGACAAAGAAGTGATTCAAGTTTTCCCTGCTGGAGATGGCAAGAAAACAATTGTGGACGAATCTACAGTAGAAATTGCAGGAGTCAATACATCCCAGTTTAATGACGATGAAGGTACTGACAAATTAGTACCAGATGAAACAGAGAAAGAAGCCAAAGACAATGGACAGGTTGAAACAGCAACAGCAGAAACTACTGCTGAATCTCGAAAACCACCTGAAAGTAAGAATATTGACAAGAACAAGGCAAAGGGACAACCGAAACCAAAAGGAAAAAGCAAAGCTGCCAAAAAGAATAAAGAAAAGAAGAAGGAAATTGAACCCGCAGTGCAAAAGGCCGAAACAATTGCACTGCTTGCACAAGTTTTTGCATTGGCCAACGACAACCCGATTGCCCCGATTGCTCCGGTTGGTCCTGGTGATGACGGACAACAAGCTAATGCTGATGAGGCTGAAGTCCCTGCTGGTGGCGATGTTCCGGCTGACGATATTGAATATGATGGTGAGGGTGACGAGGGCGAAGGAGAATGGGAAACTGCTACGGCACCACCAATTACCCCTGAACTAGAACATGGACAACCTGATCAGAAAAAAACGAAAAGAGGTAAAAATAAGAAAAAAGAAAAAGGTACTGGAACCGGAGAGGGTAAACCAGAAAAGTCGGACAAAAAGAAGAGAGGCAAGAGCAAAGAGAAGAAAGATAAGTCGGCGTCGAAATCTAAATCTAAAAAGAAAGGTGGCAAGAAAGGCAAAGGTAAAAAAGGAAAGTCCAAGGCTTCGAAAAAGAAAAAGCAAAAGAAGACCGAAGATAATGAAGAGGAAGAATGGGTACACAAAATGGACAGATCATTTCTGCATGAATGTCATTCTTTAATGTAGCAAGAAAAATAATTTGTTGTTAATATGTCTTGCCTTACTCTTGTGTATTTCTAGGAAGAAGACTACAGCCGAATTTATGGAGGATGTGAAGGACCAGATGCGATGTATGTGAAATTGATTTCTTCAGATGGTCACGAGTTTATTGTAAAAAGAGAACATGCCCTGACATCGGGCACCATTAAGGCTATGTTGAGTGGCCCTGGACAGTTTGCAGAAAATGAAACAAACGAAGTAAACTTTCGAGAGATACCGTAAGATAAATTTCAGAATACTAAATTTATCATCACTAAAGGTATTTTTAAAACATGGATTAAAAATATATATTTAGGTCTCACGTTTTGCAGAAGGTTTGCATGTTCTTTTGTTACAAAGTGCGCTTTACTAATAGGTGAGTAATTTGGTGGAGTATAAAGTTAGTTGAAAGGGCTAACATTTGTACGATGTATATGATGAATACGGTTCATTTGATTAACTATCTATTTTTGAATTTCAGTTCGACAGAAATCCCCGAGTTCCCCATCGAACCTGAAATTGCACTTGAACTTCTGATGGCTGCAAATTTTCTAGATTGTTAAATGTCCGTATCACTCACGTCAATTATCTATCTCGTGTCGTTGAATATTATGTCGTTTTATACTTATCACTATCGTCAATTTTGCAAACATTAAGCTTGCACAAATTCATGTTTACAATGATCAATTACTTTGGCGAAATGTGTGTCAAAAAGAATCTGAATTTTACCTATCGATTTGTCAATCAATTCTATCTAATTCATACTTGAAAATAAATTGAATACATTGTCAAACTAAAAATTATTATCTTCATCTAGCATTAGTAGTGGTTTTAATAATGTGACTTTATTTTAATCAACAATGAAAAATTGGACACTAAAATTTAGGGGAAATGTCAAATGCTCTCTTAACGTAGCTAATTCATATTTAAAGTAAAGTGGATGCGAGGCTTATTGTTCGTTGCTTTGTGGCACTAAAAATTTTTGCAGAACGCCGCCGCTGCAGAAATTACAAATCAGACGTCATTGACAGTTGAACCTTCTCTCCGGGCTTAAATGGGGGTGTGCCCGCATATGGGCAAGATCCACAACGAAATGCATCTCCCAAATAGCACTAAAATATATAAAATAGGTTTGATTGCATAATCGGTGTCCAAAGAAGTTATGGTACAGACTGTACTACAGAGCACTCCTACACACAACAAATAATTACATGACCTACGTTTCCACACGATGACTTGACCGCTGGACCATTGTTTTGTGCCCCTGACAGCTCTTCCGCCAATCCACAGCTGCAATCCTTACAGGCCTTTCGTTTTCCAGTCGTTCCGCACACTAAAACAAAAACACAAGGGTTCATTCAAACTCTGAATTCAGTTTATTAGATTTAGATCTAAATAATATTGTGAAAAACCTTTGAGAGACGAAGGATCTGGTTTCTTCAAGTCGTCTTCGTCCAACAAGGCGTCTTCATCAATAAAATCTTCGTCATCGTTGGCAGATATCTTCCACGCACTGTTTGATGTATCCTTGCCTTGGACAAAAGACACTGGTTTGACTTCATTAACCTAAATTGAAAGTAAGCTTGTAATTCGTAATCTGCACGAACGAAATGTCGATATGCGCTAAGAAGGAACTATGCGACAATTTACCTCTCGCTTATCTTTTTCCGCAGTAATCAATTGATCAGATTTCAGTTCCACCTTTACAAATCCACTGTATCGTAAATGTTTTACCAACTTGGCAGAGGAATCCCCATTAGCAGAAGCGCATTTTAGTGTAAACTTTCCAGAAACTTTGAGAACGTTGTCCAAAATAAAATCGGTAACTTTTTCGTTGTTAACGAACTCGTCGTAGTTTCCGCAGAGGTAGACTAGATCAGTTGTCTGCTCTCCAGAAAAACTTAAGATTTTTGCAGATTCAAAAATCTCTCTGGCCCCCTCAGCTTCGCCTTCGGCAACGTCACGAGAAATTTTGTCGTCGTAAATGAGAATTGGACGACTTCCTGAAGCCATGTCAAGTCTGTAACTTGTAATAATATAAAATGTTAACAGGTTCCAGAATATCCAGAATTATTTCAGATTATCTATAATGTTGTAAAATTACCTTTTAATTGAGTTTTATCCTTGAAAATAAGTGCAACGTAATATCCGATGAATAAACTTCCTGCTTCTGGCTGCTGAAGTCCTGCTAATGATCACTGAGTTTGACTGAATGAATGAGAATTGAAAATTAAAGTGTTCAATTTTTGTTCGTTTCGTGCTCGTGTATGAATTGCGTCAATGAAATTGCACGTATTCAGATTTCTGCCAACAGCGGTATCCCGTCGTCTCAATCGACCCGTCGTTCTATTTCATGTTCCTTGATCGTTCCTACTTATCACTTATTAGGATTATTAATAGTAATAGTAACAACAATAATGACATTTGAACCCTTTTTCGAAATAAACGCTGATTATTTATAAGCTTTGAAGCTTTTAGGATAATTTCGTAGATTTTATTTTCATGTCATCCATCACAGAATACAATTATTGCAAACATGTAAATTAATGAGAAGGGTGTTGAAAATGCATAATAAATGCACGAATTGTCCAAACAAGTACAGAAGCCACCACATGAGCATAATATTGCACTTTTGTAGTACACAACTTAAATACTAATTTGTCCATATTATTGAAAATATCACAGTCAAATGTAATTTGTCTCAATCCAGGAAATCAAATCATGGACTTCCGTTGTTCATGAGACACCATGTATTTACTTATGTAACACTGTAAATATATTGTTGTAACATATAGTAAGAACACTCTGTTCATGCAGATAAGCTCCTTATCTGGTTGTTAGCCTCTAGACATTTTTCCTCTGTAGGGCGAATTTTGTCCCACCGGGGGAGGAATTTCGTGATTGTCCATGTGAATGTCGTAAATGTGACGGGCGGCTGGATCGCTTCGATTTCCGTAGAGGTAGAGGTAACCACATCTGAAGGAAAAGTTTAGCCCGACCAGCAAACAGTATCCGAGCAGGAGGATTATCGTTTCGAGAACAATGAGAAAAACGCCACACTCACGAAGCAGGGCATGAATCAAGCCAAGAAAAGGGACGCTCCACAATTTTTTTTCCTCCAAATTGTTCTCAATTCCATGAAATGACTTTCTTCCAAGGGCCATGGCACTAGCAGAATTCTTCGATAAGTCGTCTAGTCTCAGTCCAAATTCCATTCCTCCGTTATCATATATATTCAAGGAAACATAAGGATAACGACACTGCAAGAACAAAAGATTTATGTCGATTGTAAAATGCACCAAAAAATAGACACTGGTTGACAAAGATTTCCATTGGATAAACTAAACGTGTATAGTTTCTAAATTCAAATATTACTTTAAATTACCCTTTTTGTTGCGACGAGCTCAAAGAACTAAGAACTAAGTTATTTGTATTTTTAGCTTCTTACTACATTTCCTGCATAAGATAATTATTATGTAGTTCACATGATGATGCAAAATATTTTACACAGAATTCAGGAATTTTGCAATGCCACGCTCTACAGAATTTGTATTGCATGCAGTCACTACTGGCCCAAATAGGCACACGATGAATATAATATTATCATATGCACGTATAAGTCTACCTATAATATTTTGTGCTCTAAAATTGAAAACAATTAAATTGTTATGTAAATTCCAGCCGCTTACTATACTTTTATTTACTAAATTAGTACATACGTACGTACGTACATAACTTGTATGAAAAAATTTGTTTCCGTATAATGCTCACCTTCAAATGGCTTCTCAAACTTGCAAGAATTCTTTGGACGCGCTTGTAGGAAACTCTGTCATGAATAAAGTGATAATTGCAGGCATCCTCGGTGACGAAATTCGCATATGACAGCACAATATGCAACCACACCACGCAACTCACTTGGTCAACTGTGTAGCGTTGTTAGCAGTAAGTAAACGTTAGTGAATGTCAAAACGACTGTCTATTCAATACTACAGCTATTTAATAAATTTTAACTTGGATGTTTGACTCTTCCATTTATGTTGGTACAATAATAAACACGACTGCGCTGTATTCCCTTGATTGCAGCCTTCTTCCCTCAAGTTTGACCTCACTTAATTTTGTTGATCTTAGTTAGTTGACGCTTACTTACTATGTGTATTCTTATCCTCTAAGCCTATCATTGTCCTCACAAACTTTTACTTGTCCTCAATGTATGATTGATTTTAAGCCGTCGTCATTTGATGACTCGTTACTAAGTCAGACCGACAATGATTATGCTCAAGGTTAAGCAGGCAGGTGAAATATTAAGTTACGCAAGATGATGAGGTACTAAGAATGCATAAATGTAAATGCTTGTTGAGGTGCTGACCCCTTCAGAATTGAGGTTTAAAATATTAATATTGGAATATGTAGTATATGTACCTTGCAGGCTAAATTAAGGATTTGTATATGGATTGAGCTTAAATGAAGATTTCTTGTGAATAGATAATCACAGTTTTAGTAAAACTGTCTGATACATTTTGACGTCATGATGTCACTTTACAAAAATTATTACTGTTTAACTAAAAAAATGAGTTTTTGAGTATGATTTAAAAAAGCGCAATTTAATAATTCTTTGAACTTGAGTGTGTTATAAATATTTTATTATGACGAATTATTATTATTATTATGATTTTATTGATTTCATCTATACACATTAAGTTGTACATACATAAATGTTAACAGACACTAAACTAAATAGGTTAAAATCACGTTTCATATTCTTCAGGAAATGAAAGGAAAATGTCGTGCATGATGGTGTACGATGGCATAATTCAGTTTGATTAACCATAAGTGTAAAATGTAAACTGATCTACTTGTATTGCATCTAGCTAATAATATACAAACAAGATGGTTTACTTACGCGTATGCATGCAAGTTTTTCTTACTTTGTTATACATATTATTTGGATTGTTAAACGGTAGATTCGATTGCTGTATGATTACGTGCTGCATTTTCTTTATATTGGCTGAAATTGCTTCATCTCATCACAAGCATAACTAAATGTATATTATGTACTTGTGCCTCATTACAATTACGATTTTATAACTACTTATAAAGTTTAACTTTTCGCATGTGATTGTTACCATAACTGTTAAACCTAATTCAATATTGTATTTCAGAAAGAAAATTGTATTTTAGCGTTAGTTTCATACTAAATAGCACATATTTGCACCACACATGTACATATGTAAGTAAATCGTCTATGTGACATTACATGTACATGCAATGTACGACATACATAGCTTGTTCCTTGCCGAACTAATTTTAAGAAATTAAGTCAAACCTCACGTACATGTCATATTTATCTTTTTGCATGTAGTGCACAAATTCAAAACATCCCTATATCATTTTATTTCAATTTTCATAAAATCTTTCCAGCTTTTGCCATATTGATATGAAATGACAACTTTTATTCCTTTTGTTTGTTGCGGTGTTGGATGAGATGGGTGGGTAGATTTTTTTTTGCAAAACACGGTACTGAAATGTGTTTGGAAGGTTGTACTAAATATATAATAAATATATCATGAATGACAAAGGCATACATCTTTCCATGTCTTTCCATCATGGTCCAATTCGAGTCTCTTGAGTTACAAAATCTCTTTTTGGGTAAAAACAATAGTGTAAACTTAACGTGGCATTGTATCACGTGTTTTTTGTTTGAATTGTTGTGTCTCAACTTTCCCTTCCTCCATCCATTCAAATGGCGATTTTGAAAAATGTTCACCGCCTTTCGTTTTTAACAATATGAAGATATTAATGCACCTAAAAATCGGTAATTTTTAGGCTTACATAGTTAGGAGATAAAAATTTTGATTTTTTTCTTCAACAAGAAGATAAATATAAAATAGATGAAAAATAATCAATAAAATTTAAATATTTCCTCATTGAAGAAAAAAATCAAAATTTTTATCTCCTAACTATGTAAGCCTAAAAATTACCGATTTTTAGGTGCATTAATATCTTCATATTGTTAAAAACGAAAGGCGGTGAACATTTTTCAAAATCGCCATTTGAATGGATGGAGGAAGGGAAAGTTGAGACACAACAATTCAAACAAAAAACCCCGCATCAGCCAGCATGCTATTCCGCCTTAAGAGAAAGCAGTGAAGGCGAAAGTACCAAACGTTGTAGTGCTAATGTCGAGTATTTAGTAAATGGATGCAGAGTTATGTTCAAGGTCAATTTAGTTATGTACATATATGATAATTTCAATAGATGATAATATGCATACAACAGTTAAATTGTTGATAACTCGGTTCATCAATATCATTTAATCGATTATTCATGATTTATTACATGCTACGTTGGTGATGCAAGATGTGTCCACTACTATATTTTATAAGTACGCATACTCGGCATACATATTCTTTCTGAAATCTATCATCAAATTTTTGATCTTGACAATGGTATGTAACTAATAAATGCTAATGAACGAAAATTGATTGTAAGGAAAATGCATACAATTTCACTTAATTGGCAAACTCTGAGCTAAGCTTTAATGTATAAGCCCACCATGATCTCATACAACTTACATGTACATAGACATATATAGGTAGTCATACACATAGTCGGGATGAATCACGTTATAAATATATCCATTTCGCCCTGAGGATATGCTGTTATGTGCGTAATGTACTTAAGTATGTATGTTGATGTTTTGCATTTGCTCCCAGTTGGTGGTTGGATCACAATTCTTATGCACATATGTACATACCCTCAGATCTATAGTTTACTAGTTATTCTGGTTTTAGACAAGATTACAAATAGCAAAATTGTCTCACATAGTTAATTCGTGATTAGTATAGAATTAGTTGCAGGAATAATACTCGTGGAACAATGATCAACGTCAGTAATTTGGTTGGGGGAGTGGTCAACATTGGTCCAGCCGTGTGCCAACCTGTGGAAGCACTTTCTTGGGACATTACTCTTGGCACGGCAGGAACAGGGCTCGGTCAACTCATACTGGGTATAATACTGAGAAAGGTTTCCGAATCTCAGAATTGTGTATCTAATCTTTCCTGACTTTCTCCCAGGGAAAACAAGCAGTTCGTCTGAAATGGTGCCTGAAGCAGTGGACCATGTTGGTGTAATTGTGTTTGGGTTCTTGTATGAATACGGAGATTTGGGCATCCTCAAAACAGCGGTATAAATATTTTTGCACTCTTAGCTGTTGTATCACACATTTGTATAATTTTTGTTTGTTCTACATATCAGGCCCCTTTGCAAAGTAGTCCAAAATCCAAGTACCCAGTGTTTTATCTCAGAAGCAGGGAAAAGCTAGGTGATACGGCAAAGAGTCAAGAGGAATTTGAAGAGTGGGTTGATGTCATGAACCAAACTGATTTCCAGTTAGTACAGATAGTGCTAATCACGCTAAAATTGTTCACCATACGTTTATTAACAATGTATTTATATTATACTGCTTTGGTGCATTTAGAGGATCAGGATACGATGTGGTTAAACAAAGCTGTGTAGTTTGGGGAATCCGAGCGTGCGAATTTTTGGGAGTTGACTACCCGGAAAATTGGGACAAAGTTTGCAACTGGGCAGCTCAAAAGTTGGTTTGACATTTCGAATTGAGTAACACTTTTTTACAGCATAGTTAATTTACCAAAATTTATAATTTACAGTAGCACAGTAGCAAGCTTAATTGGGGGGTCCGGTGTTAATTCTCGGAAAGTTCAGATCAAGGCACAAACTGCCCAAGCGCCCAAAAAACTTTACAACTACATGAAAAAAAAGTTGAAAAGGAAAGGTCACGTGAAGAAGGAAAGTGGTGAGAGTGAAAGTGGCAGTTCGAACACAAGTACATCCGAAGGTGGCGACGAGGACGAGGAAAATGCAAGCACGGTCGAAACAAGTGATCAAAATTTTAGCCAAAGCCAAGAAGGTGAGGATAGTGGAGGAACAAATGGCGAAGAAACTGTCACTGCGATAACTAGCACAATGAGCGTCACCAGAATGTAAGAAACCAATCTCACCTGACACCACAAAGCTGGAACAAGTATTTTACAATTTTTAAAACTTGAAGTGTACTACATCTGTATCACTGTATCAGTATATTTACTAAAGTAAGTAAGCAGATGGATTTCCTCTGTTCCGTTGTAATATACAATGCCACGGATGGTGAGACCGAAGAATGGTCCAAATTAATGTAGCATATTAAGTGCTTTTTAAAATACTCAACAAATATTTACTAATTCTTTCCTACTTTAAGAAAACCTATAACCGATGTCCAATGTGTCTGTGATCTTAGTTTATTTTTACATGCTATCCAATACTTGATATTAAACGTGATTATGGAAGGAAAGTTATAAATTAAATTCTTTATTGTGCATCATGCCATTTATTCATTTAATTCTTTCATACTGATTAGTACATTATCTGCCAAAGGGTTTCATACAATTTTATACAGTATGAAACTAAGGGTTTTCCATAATATGGAAAGAGACAAGATGAGATATTATCTCATCTCATCTTGTACCGATCTCACTGTTACCAAGACTTGAGTATTGAGAAAGCTGCTTGTGCTTTGATATGAGAGTTGCGAAGGCCACCTCTGGAACTTTGGGCTGAGGAGTTGCGGTGGAGCAGTGACAGGGAGCGTTGGCAGTGCCGAACTTGAAGCCGGCTCACTGTGAAGCACGCCGTGTCGCTCCATATTGGAATCCACCACTGCTCTTTCCTCTCGCTCACACCGCATTGGGTGAACTTTTCATTTCCGAATATTTAATTGGTAAGTTAGTTACTTATCTTTAATTTCCATATTTTCTCCCCTTCTCTTGCTAGTGGGGGTGGTGTAAGTGTATAGTTGGAGGCCAAACTGGTTTGGTTTTCTTTTTGTGGGTGAAAAATTTGAAATCATTGAGCTGAAAACATCGTACATTGTTGGATATAAATTGCTCATTTTTTAATTGAATTCGAAATTTTTCAATCGAGTTTGATGTAGAATATATTATATATTTGTGTTTTTCCATTGGCAAAGTATTTTGTATATCATTCATGTAAACATAACTTTAGCTTAGTAAAACAGTTCTGAAAATGAACCAAGCAGTTTCGACATGAAATTGTGAATTGACTGCATCTATAATTGAATGATTATATTTCTGTACTTTTCAGAAAGTCGCCATGATTGCGACCGGAACCAAGATCATTAAACCCGCTGGGGAGCAAGCGGATGCATTCGAAACTTCAATTTCTTCTGCGCTGCTAGAGTTGGAGATGAATTCGGACCTGAGGGCTCAACTTAGAGAACTTTTCATCACGGGAGCTAAAGAAATTGATGTTGGGGGTGGAAAGAAGGCGATCGTCATCTTTGTCCCATTTCCTCAACTCAAGACTTTCCAAAAGATTCAGATCCGTCTGGTTCGTGAGTTGGAAAAGAAGTTTTCTGGAAAGTATGTCATCTTTGTAGCAAAGAGGAGGATGCTCCCAAAGCCAACCAGAAAAACCAGGAGCAAGTCTAAGCAGAAGCGACCAAGGAGTAGGACTTTAACTGCTGTCCACGATTCAATCTTGGAAGACTTGGTTTACCCTGCAGAAATTGTCGGAAAACGGATTCGAGTGAGATTAGATGGATCCAGACTCATCAAAGTTCACTTGGACAAAAGTCAGCAGACCACTATCGAACATAAGGTAAATAAAGCCAAACAAAAAAGTATTTTATTATTTTGTGTTTATTTATTTTTTAACTTATTGACTTGCCGTTTGATTAAGCTAGCTAGTTGTGTGTGACACTTTCGAGTTCTCATTCTTTATAATAAAGTGTGTGATCCACAAAGTGTCAAATCAATTATGTCAGTGTTTCTGCATGACTGACTATCTTAAACCGAGTTAGTTTTGAAACCTGACTAACAGTTGAAAATTACTTACTACCAGCTAACTAATAAATGGATGAAAAGTTGTGTTCTGTTTAACAATTGTACTAATATGCACTCTGATTTATTTGTATGACAGGTGGATACATTCGGAGCAGTGTACAAGAAGCTGACGGGAAAGCAAGTTACATTTGAATTCCCAGAACCGTATTTGTAAATGGGTCGATTTATTTTCACCAATTAATAAAAAATGAGGACAATGTAACTCCTTTTTTAAAACTCACTTTATTTGCTCAATCAATCATTGGTTTCTCTTTCATGATAAATCACGTAATATTATGGCATATTGTTATTACTGGATTACTGAAACAAATATGACACACAACTTCATAAAACAAATCATTATGCTTAAAATTTACTATTGACTAGAGGTTCATGTAACAAGGTAGGAGTTTAGCGAAAAATTTACCATGTGGTTTAACAGCGTATGCATTCTGACTGTTGGTTGAGTATAAATTATACAACTTAAATTAGATGAAAGCATGCAAGTGGAAATGGAATATATTGGATTTCAAAGCTTAATTTGTTACTTCGTTGTGCTGATTCTTATTTTATTCATCAATCGGTTCTCCCACGAGTGTATCGGTGTCATCATCTGAAGATATTGCGGAATCGGCTGTTGCTCCTCCAGAGGCAAAAGAAGAACTCTCTGACGTGCAATTTCCGTCAATTTTATTAACATTTTCCCGTTGGTGATGACTTTGTCGCTTTTCTGGTGATGCCACGACCGAGTTTGGTTGTGAGAACAGAAGTTGAGGTTGATTCAAGGGAAATTGATCTCGCGACTTTTTTCCCTTTATTTTTATATAGTTTGTGGGAACAAGGCCAATTTTCTGTCCATCAGAAGCCAATACCCATCCTTTCACGTTTGCAGGCTGAAATTTTGATGGAGCTAGACGAATGACTTGGCCTGGCTTCAATTCTAATTCTCGGTCACCCATTGGTACAAACTGATATTCACAAATAGCAATAAAATGTTCAGACTCTCCGGTTGCCCATTTTCTTTTGTCTGCAAATATGATGGTAAAACAAGTTAGAGTTAATGCCAGGGGGGTTGTCGATTCCAAATTAAGACGTACACACCTTTCTCAGAAGGGTCGAAATTTAAGGACTTCACCAGCTTCCACATCACATATGGCCCAGCAAATATGAAACCCAAGAACATGAGAATTGGCCAAGATGATGGTTTGTTCACTGAGGACTGTAGCACTTCTAGTGCGTCACCAGAAGAAGATGATGTGTCTGAAGATAAGTTATTCCACAACGACTCAACATCGGCTGGTTTGATTTTGGAGATCCCTACATATCAGAGAATATATGTATACCACGTGTACATACATATAAGTTTCAGGAATTAAATTGAATGAACATATACATGAATTGCATACCAATTAAGTATAGAAATCGTCGGAACACCCACTTGAAAAACTTGAATATCGTTAATGCCGACAAGATTTGCTTCACTCGTCCCAAATGGTCTGCCACGCCAATCACAGCTCGAAATGAAGAGTAGAGAGCATGAAACGTAGACTCCAACATTGCACTGACCGAGCAAAATGCGCCAACAAATGACTCAATAGACTGGAAAGCTGGGGATGCGGATTCTTCAGCCATTTGACTAAACGATGGATCTTCAAGTTGGCCATAACCACCAAAGGGACGATTGCCGTAAGGGTTCATCCCATAGGAAGAACCATAGTTTGAATAAGAATTGTATGGGCTACTGTATAAGCCTCCCGATCCGTAGGGGCCACTATAGCCACCGCCATATGTCGCCGAGTATGGCATTATCGATGAGCGGTTATATGCAGAGTATAGAGGACGAGTTTGACCAACTCTGGGTGGTAATGGAGGAGGAAGTGTCGAAGGAATTTGTTGTGAAGCAATTCCACCACCACCACCAGTCGTCGTACCAGGATAAGGAAGAGCCGAACTGTGTAGCCTGCCTCTATAAATACAAAAAAACATAATTAATTCATTTAAACTATATATTCTTACCACGTGCCATGATAAAGAACTTTAGAATAACGTACGTGGTATTATTGGGCACGTAAGGGATGGATCCGTTAGGAATACTTCCACTCATAGCAACTTCCCATGGCTTTAATGGAGCTGCCATTTTCGCAAAAGTGGAGCACTACTTCAGAAGTTGCTTATAATTATGATGATACAAATAAATTTCACAAAATTCCGACTATTTAATTTGTTCTCGGATGACTAGATTCTTATTTTGTGACTGTATTAATGGCTGGCTGTGCTGCACAAAAATTTAGCAAAGTTAATCATTACGTTATGTACTACAACAACAACTGTCACTCCACTGTGAACTGACAAAAACATTGGGGACTTTAAGCTTGAACAAATGCGTTTTAATCTTGTAAATTATGCCAAGTAAAGATGACATAAGTTCAAAGGTGAAGTAATCCTATTGGCCAAAGATAAGTGAGATCCACATTTTATAATTACCCACCACCATTAGCTAATTATTAATTAAACTGCAAAGTGCAAACTGGTATATCATATATCCAAAATATTATTTATCATCAGCAGTGAAGGCAAATTCAAATCCTCTCCCACTGAAAGTCGCTATGGGGCAAGGTGAGAGGTTTCATTCAGGCAGCCAACCGGCGGAGCCATCTCGTCTCCTCCTGCCCAACCACCACACTGTTCAAACTCGATTCCAGCGGCACGCCTTGGAATCAGTCGTTCGTCCCAAGTCGTTTATTTTTACAGGAGCGGATCACGTTGTCGTACTTTGTGGGACAATAAAACAAAATTGTTGTTGAAAATTGGTGGGAGCTACGGCACAAGCCCGTTGTTTCTGATAAGCGCAGGAAGCCAGGCAAATTTAACTTGAACTACGGCGGAGGCAAAAAAGCTCGCTGCTGCTTCCTCCTTGTGTATTTCTCTACCACCAAAAACCCAACCAACCCATTTGTTTGCTTCAGATGATGGTGAACATGGCGGACGCACCAATTCAAACTCCCGTGACCGCTCCTCCCGTGACCCCTGGAAGTCGATATGAAAAGTCGCTGGGTCTCTTGACCACCAGATTCGTTACTCTGCTCCAAAAAGCCAAGGACGGTGTCCTTGACTTAAAAGAGGTAAGGTAAATAAATAAAGCGGAGGTGATACTGCCGCCGGAGGTTGAATTTCATGCCAAAATGGGAGGCGGAAAGTCTGGTTTGAAAAATTGATTTCCGAAACCCGGTTTTTTGTTTTCAATCCCATTTTGGCATAAAGTATTTCAAAATATGTATGACATTTACGCCATTTCAAGGAGTAAGAGGAGTTTTTTGTTTCGTTGGGGTTCCTATAAAAGTGGGAAATATAGGAAAAGTTGGATCGTATTTATTTATTTTGATGATAAATTCACAAAATTGTTAATAATGATGAGCACTTAAAATTGAATAGCTCTAAATTTGTATGTAGCCTCTTTGAAGTGGTGTTCCAAAACTCATATATATTTAAATAATTGGGTATGTTCCCATTGCTTTATTGGACGCCATATTTCAGTTTGAATTTCCGAATTTTTGATTACAGTCATTCTTGGCCTTGCAGGTAAGAAACAATTTTTAATAATTGGCATAATGGGATTTGACGGGGTAAGAAATTCGTTTTCCCTTTTTCACAAATTCGTTGTTCACGCCACTTTATTTAGCGAAAATCAGTAAGTGTTAAATTAAATCCGTAGTAAACAATTAAATCATTTCATATCATCCAAATATTCTTCCGTAAAAGCAACGTTATTATTGGAAGGGACATTGATAGCCAGGGAATCCCCAAATAAATATTCAGAACTCGTATTGTAAAGGACCATTGGATGTCCATTGTCCATTTCGAATCTCTTACTTCATTGCTGCTAAAATCAATTTCGAATTGACCCATTTTATTTGGTAATTTTTTTATTTCAGGCTGCCGACATCCTTGCAGTTCGTCAAAAACGTAGAATTTATGATATTACAAATGTTCTTGAAGGTATTGGACTTATAGAAAAGAAAACAAAGAACGCCATTCAATGGAAGTAAGTGAACTGAAAATATCACAGTCATTGTATACTATATTAATTAATTAATTATAAGCTAATGTATCAAATGTCTGTATTGATGAGTGCAAAAGATTGTGTTTTGACTAAAGAGTGGTGTGCAATGTTAACTTACCGTTTGTATTTTATTTTTTATTTTAGAGGAGCAAGTCCGGGTACAAACACAGAAGAATTTGTGGCTCGGGTAGAAAGGCTAAAAGACGAAGTTCGAAGATTAGATCAAATAGAAAAAGATGTTGATAAACATCGCGGTGTAAGCATTTTAGTTTAAGTTTAACCTTCTATGGATAATACGTCGCTTAAATATGTGTCTAATGTTTTCAGTGGTTAGAACAAAGCTTTAGAAATATTACAGAAGAATCTGGTAACTCCAAGTATGCCTATATCCGTCAAGAAGATATCTGTGTAGCTTTCTCTGACCAAACCATTTTAACTTTGACCATACCTAAAGATGCGAACCTAGATTTTCCTCCGTCAGAAAAGGTAAATAAATTAACCAAGGCATAATTAATCGTAAACCTATAGTATGCTGTGGTAAATATGAGTAAGCAATGCATTTCTTGTTTTTTACATTAGAGCGGAGATTCCATCAAACATAAAATCCATATTAAGGGAAACAAAGAGCCGATTGTAGGGTATTTTGTTAACCCTGAACTTGATGCACCAACTGTAATTGTAGATTTTCCCACCGCTTATAAAGATTGGTTGAACCGTAAAGGTCAGAGTAACAAGCATGACTTTTCTGAGGAGGAAACTCAACGAATTGACGAGGGTGTTGTTGCCAAAACTCCCAGTACTCGAAGTAGAGTTCCCGGAAGTATGTCTCCAAATAAAACAGTTGAGCCCGGCTCGTCTCCCCGGAAAGGGAGTGGTGGTGAAGCTTCCTCTTCTTCCAAACTCCAAGTCCAACCAATTTCTACTCGACGCCAAGGGAAGCGACAGGCAGAGAGCCCGGTACCCGGAGAACAGAAGCCGTCGAAAATAGAAAAACATGACGAGCTGGCTGAAGGCCTAGAGCAACACTCTGACTTAATTACAGTTAACCAAACTGATTTGTCAAAGGCTGTGGCTGAAGCAGTGATGGAAAGTGAAAATGGTAGTATTGAAAGAATTCAAGTGGTTCCAGCAGATAATGACGAAGAGGACGACGTTGCTGCCGAGTTACCTGATGGTTTTTACTCCACTTCCCGTAAGTTAATTGCATTACACTTTATTTACAGACAAATGGTTCGTTGTTCTTAAGTTAAATACATTATGTTCTTGCAGTTGTTGGCCCTGTCTTAAGGCTCAGCCCTCCTCCTTCAGAACAAGACTATAGATTTACTTTAGCCAAACATGAAGGATTATTTGAACTCTATGACATACGACGTAGCCAAACTATTCAAAGCCACACGACAACTGTCACTGTCAGTGGTAGCTAATCTCAAAATATCAAAATCAAGCATTTGTTTTTATATTTTTAGGTGTCATAGCATATATACCTTTTTAGACTTTGTAAAACCAGCTAATTAAATTATTAATTATTACATTCTGATGTACACCTACTTGCGTGTTAACTTATAATAGAAACTGCGGTCTTCTTTAATATGTAATTCTTGCTACACTGTCAACTGCTGGTTTTGTAAAATCTTATTCCTTAACATGACCTTTAGCATAGATTATGTGATTATTTATGTTTTATTCGTTTTACATTATATCCTACATAAACATGAATTTTGTTTAGGATTTCTTCTCGTTTAATTGTTAATAAACTAATTGTTTCAGACCATAAATAATCTTAAATTGTACTTACATATTTACAAATACATCTCACTTAAATCATTTTATTGCTGCTGTTGGAGAATAAATACTGAAAACCAACTATCATCCCTTCTGCGTATTACACTTTGCATGGACTAAAGTGGTTCATATTCATTCAAATATTTGAGGTTAAAAACTCCATGATAAATCATTCAGTCAACTTTGTACACAGAGTCATTGCGATACAGTCAACAGCATTGCCGAGTCTCAGCCCCGAACTTGGATAGTAAACGACCTTCATCACCCGATGGCCGGTGATCTGATGATGTTTATTACAAATCCAGTATTTTGCTCGACTTGCTAAATCTCTCCCATACACATTGCATACATACATGAATTCTGCATAACAGAGACGGCATTGGTTATCTTGTTGTCACGAAGAAGCCCATTCAGAAAATCATCTGCTCTCTGAACTTTAATTTTTATTTTTATTTTAAAGTGAAAGTGAAAAGGTACTTTCCAAAATGGTGGTAAAGCTTTACTACGATGCCATGTCACAACCCTCTCGGGCCCTTCTCATATTTCTAAGAAGCAATGCCAAGATTATCCCCGTAGAAGAGGTGCCAGTGGCCCTTCGTAAAGGTGAGAGGAATATGAGATTTATTTCGTACTGAAATTATTCGAAATAAATGGGTTGCTAAAAACTTAAACCATAAAATTTCACAGGCGAACACCTTTCTAAGGACTTTGCCAATGTCAATCCCTTCAAGAAGGTTCCGGCAATTGATAATGATGGATTTAAGCTGGCTGAAAGGTGTGCACATATGCATTTACTATGCGTTTCTCCTTGAAATTGTATCCTAATTTCGTGCGAAGGGTAACTTGTGGGTTTATGTAACTGCAGCGTCAGCATTTTGCGTTACCTTTGTCGAACGTTCCCTGTGGCGGACCACTGGTATCCGAAGGACAGCCAGAAACAGGCCCGAGTGGACGAATACATGGCGTGGCAGCACCTCAACCTCAGGGCTTTTGGCAGCATGTACTTTCGAACTAAAATCATCAACCCCATGATGGGGCTCCCCGTCAATGAGGATAACTTAAAAACCTTCGGAAAACAACTTGATGATGTGTTGGGTGTAATTGAGAATATCTGGCTTAAAGAAAACCCATTCATCGCAGGGAAAGAATTGAGCGTTGCAGATTTACTGGCCACCACTGAACTAGAACAACCAGGTCATCCAGAACGAATAATGGCTAAATAAAATGAGGATAAATGTTGATACCATTTTCTCCTGTGAATAGGAATGGCTGGATACGATGTGTACAAAGGTCACCCTAAAATTGCAGCATACGTGAGTGCAGTGAAAGCAAAACTGCAACCGCACTATGACGATGCTCACGTTTTTGTCTACAAACTTCAAGCAAAAGCCAAACTTTAGTGAAGATGGAATCACAAAAGCTCTACAAATTTCTATTTTTGCGCAAATAATGACAAAGTACTATTTCTTTCAAAGTAATTTTATTCTGGCGTTTTAGGATAATAAATACAAACCAATGAATATCCACAACTTCCATAAGTATGGCAGAAAAATATTTGTAAGAAAAGGTTGTAAGGGGAAATCCCGTAGGCCGTAGTCCTAATTTATATTTGGAAGGCTCAATAAACTGTAATAAATATTCCAAAAATTACAAATACTTTCTTGCACTCCACTCAGATTTCAACTGATTAATTTATATAACTGCATCCACTTTAGAATTTACATGCACATAAAAGTTACTCATTTTTCAGCCAATTTAGTTTCATACATGAAAAGTCCATCTAGATATGAAACCTAACTAATGATAGCTTTAATGGAAACATGATGCAAAGTGAAGAAAAAATGTTTCGCTTGCATTAAAACCATTTAATCGGATGGGGATGGATCCAATAAAATGATCATGAGCGTCGAACAGATTTACTTCATGACCGTAATTATTTCGGGCTAATACAATGTGCATCTGAAGTTTTTTTTGCCTCAAAAGAATTAAAACGACTAAAATTTAAAAAAAAACTCATCTCTGGGTAAAATAAAAATAAAATTATTCATTAATTATCTCATCCTCAGGATTACGGTGTTTAGCTTTCACCACTATAATAAAACTTATAAAACTTATAATAAAACTCTTGTGTCCAATTCTCTCATTCCACTTTTGACTTTCCCAATGGTGTAACACGGTGTAACATGTACATGGTGTTAGTAACTTGCTAACACCATGGATGTTTGTATACACTGAATCCATCGATCATTACGTACTCGTTTCATTTGTGCAAATGGAGTGGACTTTGTGCCAATGTCAAAACATTGGCACTCCAACTCAACCTACCTGCATGCATATAAATAATTTATTTACAAATTTGCACAAGTCTGGAATCCGTATAAATAAAACCTAATAACAAAGAAGAAATGAGTTTGAAACTGTACGTGCATCCGTTGTCTCAACCAGCACGAGCTCTCTTGCTCTTCTGCCGTGCAAATTCCATACCTTTTCAAGAGCATGTGGTGGACCTGATTAAAGGTAGCAGATTTAAAATGTAACAAAACCTTGGTTCGCTTTCTCCAGACGACATGTCGTGCAGCTTATCGCAAATCTACTGAATTTCTACTTGCCACTGAGACTCATAATTGTACCAAGATATTTGTGTTTATGCTTTCTTTGAGTGCAGGGGAGCATAAACGAGAGGAGTACAAGAAGGTCAACCCATTTCAGAAGGTTCCTGTGATTTCCCATGATGGATTCCTACTCACCGAGAGGTATGCACATTTGATATAGCACTTTGGAACTTTCCCTTCCATTTCTCATGCAATGAAATTACTTTGTAACATCTAAATTTCATGGTCATTACTGCTTTGCACTTTCCCCACTTTGAGCATTCCCTTTTGTGGTTAGGCTGCTCGGAGCTATGCATACAGTTCTAAGAATAAGTTCAGTATGTGCATGAAGTTTTCTAATGTATGGACTACAATCCATCATTTTTGGTGATTATGAAATGGAAAGCCAAGTCTCAATCAGTTTCTAATAAATCAAAATTCCAAGGCCAATCCTCGATTCGTACTACATTTATATGTCACTCCTGCTTGCCCAGTTTAATTGGACCATGTTTTTTTTACCAGTGTGGCGATTCTGCGTTACTTGTCAAGAACTTTCTCCGTTCCCGACCACTGGTATCCAAAGGAGAGCGAATTGCAAGCCAGAATAGATGCATACATGGCTTGGCAACATTTGAACCTCAGATCTTACGGTTCTATGTACTTTCAAACGGGCTACGTCATCCCAAGAACGTTTAAGCAGCCTGTAAATGAACAGAAATTGTCTAAATTTGAAAAAGGGTTGGAAACAGCCTTGGACGAAATTACAGATATATGGCTTAAAGATGGACCCTTCATTGGAGGAGGAAAACAGATTAGCGTTGCGGATTTATTGGCTGTAACTGAAATGGAACAACCAGGTTGGTTTCACGGTTCTTAGAAAGTATTCTAGAAAAGCTATCATAAAAATTGTTAGAAGTAGAAAATTCACATAAATGTAAATGTCTACTTTTCATTCATGTACATTCAGGAATGGCCGGATATGACGTAAAAACGTACAACAAAAGGATTACGGAGTACATGAATACGGTTCGTGAAATCCTCCAGCCCCATTATGACCAAATACATTCTGAATGTCACAAAATTCAGGAAAAAGCTCTTAAAAAAGCCTAAGTGTGTGTTACATAATGACTTGACTGGTATATATTAATAAACCTGGAATGTACTTAAACATGTAATAAAATCAGGCGTGACCTAATTCATGCAGTAGAGGAGAGTTGAGTTATTGGATACTTGACCTTGTGAAATAACAGCTTAATAATGTATGTATATATGTACACATATATTTATATTCATGCGAAATTTTATCCATTCACTTTCATGCTACGCAAGGTGTGACCTAGGTTATTCTACAAATAACTTGACATGCAAGACACATGTGAAACTTGAAATGAAATAATACTGTAAACGTTCTTGAAAACCAAAGTTTATTTGCTGAATTATATTAGATATGACATTAGTAATGGTAAATTTTTCACCTACTTCCGAGATTAACCTAGCGAGCATTTTTTTTCTGCGCTAAAATGATCAGAGCTGACACCTTACAAATAAACCATGTTAGATTCTTAAATCTCATGACTTAAAAAATATATTTATAAGGCATGTCGATATTCAGGTCCGTCTTTGTTGATATCATGTCTAAACTTAAACTACCTGATTATGATGTCCAAAAATATTCTAGTTGAACAGCAAATTCATATAATATATATATAAGTAGTTTGCATTATTTTTCTCTGGTCATTCGCACAAAAATCATAATATACTCTTCATTCACTTTCACTCTAACTCCTCTGATGCGAGACAATATATAGGGCACAAACAATTAATTACTCATTTGGTAAGGTAACTCGCTAAAAATTAACTTCTGCAGACCAAATTATGAATTAAGTATTACACTAATATTTGGTTATTAAAAGCTTTCCCATCTCGACACTTAGAATCAGACTTAGGGTTGTTATAAATAAGATTTAAGAGTATATTTTGCATTACAAACTATTCACATGTATGATTGTATATGACAATCCGGCACACACAGAGTCAATACTACTAGTATTATACTAGTCCCCCGTGAAAGGTACAAAGGTTCAATACATTGGCAACTTCGCTTACATCTTTCTCCTTTTAGATTGCTCAATATAAATCCCATGTGCTTAAAATGAGTTGCTTGCATACTTGATAAGATAAAAATATTTGTATTAAGATCATGGTATTATATTTTTATGCAAAACGAAAAATTTTGAAAATAAAATTTTGGTAAATGTTAAAAACATGAAAATGTACTGAAATAAGTTCGATTTTAAGTGGACGATCAGATAGACTAAATTTTCATTCCATCGTAATAAATATGGTAGAATCCATTAAATGAGATTATTGCCTTGCGCTTGCGGATTAAATTTCAGCCGTCAATTCAATACTCTTCCAACTCTTCTCCTTCTCCATTTGATGGCATTGGAACTTCTCCATCCTCGGGTGCGGCAAATCCATCCTGAAGAGTGGAAGTTATGTAAACTTGGTTACCCCATGCACTTATCATAAAGATATATGTACAATGAAACTTTTACTCACACCCACCTCTGTAGCGTACAAAATTTCAAGAATTCGCTGAAGGACGGGGTTGCTCTCACACCCATCTTGTTCCTGACAATATATCTCAATGTCACGCAATTTCCCGAAATAGAAATCTCTTTCCTTCTCAAGACCCTCAAGATTGAGCTTTGTTTCTGCCAACTAAATTAAACACACCAACAAACAATTCAAAATAAATAAGTGGTGAAAACTAATAATTATCTGATTTATAAAAGGTTCACCTGCGATGCTAGTTCATCCATTTGTGCATTGCTGGGAGACCGATTAGAATTGCTCCCAATTGACGTTCGAGCGGCAGCTGCAGGTTGTGGGCGAAGTGCTGCAGGAGGATTATTCATGACTTGACGGGCTGTTAAAATTTTATCAACATTATACACACGTACCAATCAATTATTGGGTTAAGAAATGTGTATTTTGATTATTATGGTATTACGAGGAGCTGGAGCGGCAGGTTTTGTTCTGGTGGCAATCTGTGTAGTTGGTACCACACGGTGCATAGGTTTCCCACCTGCAGGTGAGGCAGTTCCTAAAGGTAACCCTCCGCGAGCTTCTAAGGCGTGATATTGATCACCTTTGTAGTTTGCATCAAAGAACTTTTTAAACCATTGAACAAACTCGAAATTATCTTGGAATCGCCCCTTTACCAACTTGTCAACTGGAATAACCTGTGAAAAATTGAGTAAAAAGCTCAATCATTTCCTGGTAAATTTGATATGTACGCATGGTTGGTATGGTCAGGTGAAAGTCGTGATAGCAAGTAGTTTACCTTTTCAACCTCCATTTTCTTAAAGGACGCCTGGAGAACTTTAAAGTTTTGAATGTATTCATGTTCTGAAAAGAAAACATTCATTAGTAGTTGTTCTACAAGATTATTTGACACTTTATCAATCTATAAGGTTACGACAAATGGCCGAGTTACAAAATAAATTTTCATTTTTAGAAAACTAAAAATTGTTGAAAATATGCCATTGGTTACAGTTTTGGAAATGTAATTTTGTAACCGTCATGTCCGTCTGTCTGTCCGTCCGATCATTTTACGATAACTTTCGTTAAACTCGGCCTAGCGACTTTAAATTTGGTATACATGTAGTATGTGACAAATGAGGAGTTAAGTTTGAAGATGGGCGAAATCAATTAAGTGGTTGACCTGTGGTGGTCATCTGGGTGGGTGGAGTATTTCAAAATTCTCGTTGAAAGCTGTAAACTGGCATTGAGATTGCTAATGGTGTCTAATTGAAAAATATGAATTTAAATTGGGAAAATTTCCGACTGGAGGGACCCGATACCATACCGATTTTTGAAAATTATCCATCGAGCTGAAATTAGTGCAGAGATTGCTAATGGCCCCTGATGAAAGAATATGAATTGAAATTGGTACCATTTTTATGTGGAGGGACCTTTAAGGGGGTGACCCATATCGATTTTCAAAAATTGTATTAAAAAGATGAAATTAGACACTCGTAGAAGACTGAAATTTGGCACGACCCCGTGGGGGTAGACCAGATTGAAAAATATGAACTAAATATTAAGATTTTTTCCACAGAGATTTAACAAGGTGACCCACGCTGCTTTTTATATTGGTAGAATAAAAATAAAATTCGGTATCATGGGTAAGGGCACATCAGACTAAAGAATATGAATAATGTTCATATTCATCGAATATGAATATTTTTGTGGGCCCAGCCCAGAAGACTGAGACCCGTACTGGTTTTAAAATTGGTCAAGGAGCTGAAATTTTGCATGCTGGATTGTGGGAACATTTTTGCCGATTACGAATAGTAGTTGGTGCAGGTCGTCTGACTAAAGTTTAGAAGCTGACACTGACCCTGACTCGGGCTAAACAAACGCTGCACACTGGGATTTCAAATTTAATTTTCGAAATAGTACCCTCGAGATTTTGATCTTAAAAAATCAAGCTAAAAATTACGATGATTTCATCTTAACGAATTAAATCTCTATGTCTGCCCATTCAAAAGTTATTAAAGGTCAAAGTCGTTGGTACACACGACCATGGGACGTGTACCAACGATTTAAAAAATAATTATTTTATTTGTAACTCCACCATTTGTCGCAACCGTTAAAAGACACAAGAGTTACCTAGATACTAAATGTCAAGCAATCGTGGTTGTTCTACTTACTACTTACAGTTCATTTCTATTGACTACACTATTATATAAACACTTACCTAACTTGGTTGTGAACTTCACTTTCTTCAGATTTACACATCCTGAAAAAAATCATTTACATTATGCTAGTTTATGATATGATAATTGAAAACCATATTCTTACTCTTTTACTTACCAGGGAATAACATATCCATAAACTGGCAATATGCAGCTCCAGTACAAAGTTCTTCAATTTTACTGAAAGTCGCTTCCAGGGAGTTGTTAACCCATGATAACATGTCATGGCGGCTGAGATTTTCAGAAGTAACATTTGTGGCAAAGACGTTGACAGCCATGTTAGGATAGTAGGGTGGATAGGGACTCTTTTTTTCTGCATAAAATGAATCGACACAATTACAATAATATTTGCAACAAGCACAATCACACTTTCGAATTGCACCATATGGCGTTTCAAGTGTTTCAGGGTCAGAATCAAATATATTAACGGGAGAAGGGGGAAGCTGTGGAAGATACATAATCTCCGTAGCACATTCGTAGTCCATCCTGATTTTTGCTTTTGTCCCAAGAATCTTTAAACGAGATGTTGATTCGCAAATGCCCAGCCCTCGACTGACAAATTCTATGAGGGTTAACTAGTAATATGTATAAATGGCAGCGGTCGAAGCAATAAAGGGTTCGAATTCGAATGGCCATACGAAATAGGGTTATAAATATTATTGCTTCTCTTTATGCAATGCGGGGTGCTAGCTTTGCAATATTTCGAATACCAGCCGAGCAATAATGTGATATAACTAAAAGCCAGACATGCATGCATACATCAATGCAATCCTACCACTTGACTTTGAAGCAATTATGTACTACATGAACAAGGTATGATGGTGAATGAACGAGTACAACAAACTGGCAGATTTAGTGTAAGTAAGTAATGAAAACATGCACATTTCTTAGGTGAAAGTAGGAGGAAAACTTTCCCCGCACGACTCGTGTGATAAATTGCTGTGTGCAAAGTCAAGTGCACGCCCGGTGACGTTGATGGTTTAATAATGCGAAACACGAGTGAGCTTTCTTTGCTTTCACAACCTCAACCTTGTATGTACAAGAAAACTTGAGAAAAGCGGTCAAGGGTACCTAATTGTCCGAATGATCTAGATTCAAATTTATTATATATGGCTAACCTAATGCATGCATATAATGTATATACTTCATGTATGCATGCCAATATGTTCATTACCCTATGTTGAGACGGAAATTGATCGAGTATTTTTTTATCATTGAATCGGTGCAAGTAATAACGGCTTGTCCATTGTCCATACAAATTGTCCATAAAAAATTGAAAATGACGACAACGCGACCTGCGCTACCTTGGCCAGCCTGAATGACTCACCCCTCACATCTTTGATCTCATGCACGTACCATGTATTAGGCAACAACAAGTGTGAATAATTCCGTGATATTTGCAACAATAAATGACACTACCGGATTTTATAACCAACAAAGTTAAACACATAACGCAAAAATATATTAAGTACTAAATATTAAATTGTGAAAATTTACCACAATCAAAAATTTTTGATTTTCATCTTAAAAATATTTGGTATAAATAAATCATTGGTAAACTAATTTAACTTCCTCGTAATCAATGTGCAATTCTACATCTGCTAGTAAATGAATAGAATGAAGAGTAAAGGAGTTTTTTTGACTTACCAAAAACGGGTGTGGTGGTGTTATAACTAAGCAATTCCGGTTTCCGCCCGGTCCTTTTTTTAGATTAAACGGTAAATATATTGTTTGCAATAAATAATCGCGAATTTGTGGATGGGAATGAGAGAGTTCGTTGTTCGGTGTGGTGGGTCGTTTTTTGGTGCTTCCTTTTTCACTGGCTGTCAATGTGGAGCCGGGAGCCGATAGAAGATAGACCACACTGATCCCCCGTCAGAGCACTCTCACCACCAACCACCGCTACTTTTCCTCATTGTTCACACAACAGGTTGAATCTTCCAAGCAAAATGTGCAACAAAACGCCAGTATGTAATCATCAGACATGATTTGCTGTATGAATGAATGGCATACGAACTATGTAAGTAATACATGACATCGCCATGCAAGAGGGAGAGCAGGAATGGTCCGCCTTTGGACCCACGGAACTACCCCCCGAAACTGTCAGAGGAGTCCAGGGCGCATGGGAGCGTCCAATTCTGGACGTCACTGTGTCCCAACTTTTGCTTGACGCTTCAACTCCAGAAGACACTGCCCGCTATAGAGCACTACGCGACAAATTTGCCGGGGCCTGGCTCAACTCTGTTCCGTCCCCCCAACTTGGTACCCTTTTTTCAAATGAGGCTTTTCGCGTCGCAATCTCCCTTCGTTTGGGTTGCGACATCTGTCAACCCCACACCTGCCCTTGTGGAATTCAGGTCAACTCGCGAGGCTATCATGGTCTCTCCTGCAGGCGAAGTGCTGGGCGGTGGTCACGCCATGCTGCCGCTAATGACGTGATCGCGAGAGCTTTGCGTTCCGCCGAAGTCCCCTGCATTTTAGAGCCGGCCGGATGCTCCCACCAAGACGGAAAGCATCCCGACGGTTTGACCCTCGTCCCCTGGGCAAGAGGAAAATCTCTGGTTTGGGATTTTACCTGTGTGGATACCTACGCCCCTAGTCATCTCCCCAACACAATCCGGCACCAAGGCGCTGCTGCTACCAAAGCAGAAGACAAAAAGAGACGATATTACGCTTTTCTCGAGGACCGCTTCATTTTTATGCCCGTTGCAATTGAGACGACAGGTATATAGGGGCAAGAGGGATTATCTTTTATTAAAGACATTGGTCAACGGATCGCTGCCACGACTGGAGAACCACGCTCCACAATCTTTCTCCTCCAGCGATTAAGCATTGCAGTTCAACGTGGGAATATAGCTTCAATGCTGGGAACCCTTCCACCAGGAAAAAAATTCAACGAAATCTATTATATTTAAAACTTTTTCATTTTTAATGACATTGTTAACAAATTTGCATGTCTTGATAAATGTAACCATTATGAATTAGTAAATTTAAATAAATTATGTAAGTAATACCATGCGTAATTAGTATTATGCGTTCACGATGCTAAACGCTTTGCCTTGTGTAGGATGATTTCGATCGTAATTTGGATTATACAAATTATGCCAACGCATGAATGACCTACTTTGAAAGTTCTTCCAGAATTGATTAGTACACAGACAATTTGCAGTTTTTCATAGCAACCACTTACGATTAGTGGCAATAGTTTTGTAGTGCGTCTTATCACTTCTTGCCTTGTCATATGTACATGTGCATGCCACTAATTGTGTACTGCTATGCTTGGTTGTAATTCGATCTCCTTAAAAACTCGGAAGTGCGTTGTCAGTGAATAGAATGAAGTGTGAATTGCAATGGAAAATAACAAGAACAATTTATTAAGTAGGGCTGTTAACAGGGATCAGGTATATAAAAGATGCATGCATTGTAAGTCGACTTAGGAAGCTATGTTTTAGAAAAGTTATACAGGCTGGTAACGCAGTGAAATATAATTCTTAATATATTACAAAATATACATGCAATTTCAAAACAGCATAGATGTTTGCTTTTTTCATAACTGTTTAAAGCTGTATTATCTTACTTAACTTCGGACACCTTTGGTATTTAAAGGTATCCCAGTGGTTATTAATTTTCAAAGAAACCTTAAAATCATTTATATATATATTGGTGCATACAAACTTGATTATTAAATAAACTATTTAACACTAGTTAAAACTATAAGCACTGTCTGTCTTCAAGAAGATAAAGATTCTGAATCGCATTCAAACATGAAACTTTTTATAGAAAATGTAAGAAATCACATTCACATATACGAAAATGGCATTTGCGACTTCAAGGCACTTTTTTCAGTTCACAGCAGTAGCAACTCGTTTACTAAAAATAGTCTCTTCACAAAGTGAGTAGTTTGGGGCCATGTTAGAGAGATCATGATTTGCATCAAGAGTCAGCACTGGACACGGTAAGTTGTGCTTCTCATTGATCAGCTACGACAAAAAAAATCAAATAATTGATAAGTTTGTGGAAATTTTAAAGGATTGAAGGTTATGTTTAAACATTTTCAGTAAAGTCGTATATGTTATATGAATTATAAATACCCAGTCTTCGTGAAGATTATGGATGCTTTGCAGATAATCCATTTTGATTGCAGTTTCTTCAAATCGACCACGTTGGACGATTCGTTTGTACGCAACCTCGGGGTCTGTTCTCAAGTACACTGAATTAGAAAAAACACAAGTTTTATTAATCACCAAAATTGGAATGTGATTATTTGAAATCATGTTTTATTAGTATTTGACGATGATTGGAAATTATTACCTATAAGATCAACTTTCATGGGCATTGTTTCCCGAGCAAAGTCAAACCATTCAGTCAAAACCGTATATTCTGCATCCTCCATGAGCCCCTCGTTGTGCAGATTTTTTACGAAGCAGTTTCTGCAATTCAGAAGAATTTTATTTAGAATCGAAACCCGTGCACTAATTACAATATTATAAAGAAAATTTTGCAGATTAAGTACTTGGCACTGTAGATTGATCTCTCCATCATCTTGAACGGTTGTGTCACCGCTTTTGTGTGAAGATCCAGCATGGTCAACTGTACATACGATTGGAAACATAAGCTCCACTTGCTTGGATTTTTGTACATCAAGTCCTACATAAAAGTAGTTATTAATATCAGTTTTTATATGACAATCAGATCATACCGCATACTAAATTTATCATAATGACTAATTTGTAAATATCATACCAACAAGTTGTGACCTCTCACATCCCTCCACTTTGAGATTGGTTCATCCAAAACACAAATCTCCGGAAATTGTTTAAAGTGTCGGAGAAACGTGGTTTTGCCACTTCCAATGTTCCCCTCTACGCAAATCGTCAAGTTGGACGGTACTGCCATTGTCAAATAAATAGTAAAATTTAGTTATTTTGAAAGTTATCAGATACAAAAGTAGCAGCCGAGGAGGGAACTGAACAAGATTGGACACGACTTTAAAAAAAAGTGAACTCCAAAGAATTGGAGGGATAAAACCATGAGAGCGGGACACCCAGCCGCACATTTTTTGCATTTATTATTATGCATACACTTCTACACACAAGGAGTCAAGGAACGGTGTATTATTAATATCCTGCCCACAGGAAAGGGTTGTACCATTTCACACATGGCTAATATTAGAGAGCGGGTTAAGTTACTCACAAAGGGCCAAGCCGCCAGAGGAAGGTATCCGACATGTCGACATCGTCTTCTTCCCGCCACCCATCATCATTATCGCCATTCGACACGGGCGCAGCAAGATCCGACGACCCAGCATTCTGTACCACAACTTGGTTTATTGTTCTCGCCTTCCATTCAAGTTGTACATTATTGCTATTCTTCTGTAACGCCACACACCACATTTATTTACAGCAGGACGTGAAATTGGAATGATGAAATGGAATTGCGTAAGCAGACAACATGTGTTAATTCTTCTCGTAAAACGTTGATGGTTTGGTTCCCTCGCTCTGCTCTCGATTGGTGAAAGTCGCAAGTTTGCCACATTGGTTTTCCTTTTTACTCTGCTTACTCTCGATGGATGGCGATGTCACACTTTCTCCGGGGAAAGACAGTCTCATTTCATGCGGAATCGTCATATATGAGATCCAACTATGGCTGGATTTATTTTCCTAAAAACTAAGATTATGCAGTCCACTTTTGTGGAAAAGTACTACCAATAAAACATGCCGTTTTGGAGACGCCAGGAAACCAAATATTTGCCAGAACATATCTCTTTTCATGACAATGGAATGGAATTTCCTGTTTGTTATCACACTTTTCATTTTTCTGGTACAGAATCATGAGAAGTGAAAATTGAGACACATTTATGTATTCATCCGTGGCCTTTGTGGTATGCAGTACACAGTTAGAAGTACTTATCTGTACTTTATAGAGATGTGACAGTCTCTCTTGTTGAATGAAGTAAATATTTAAAATAGCGAAACATATTTACATTTGCACATCATTCCACTTTCCGCATCCGGTGGACACAACGAATATTTGATTCACAAATGTGTATTGTCATCTCCGTAACAGAGGCTCCATTGCATTAAATTCGCTTTTATAACCAACACTGATTTGTCTTGTCCGTCCCATTTCTTGATTGATTGATTGATTGATAGTCATTTATTCACATGTTATTCCTTGATCAGTACAATTTAATGACTGGTTTACATCAAGTAACACTAAAGAATAGATTGAGTAAAGAAACTAAATTAACTACACAATGTGGTATTTCCTTATGATCTAAACAAAGTTACTTGTACGTTTTTTCATAACAAACTCCGTGATACGACTTCGTACATTTCCTGATATATGTATGTTCTCACTAAAAAGTTCATGTAGCATTTGCGCGTCTAAAGTATTCCATAACTTAATTGAGTAATAGCGCACTGAATTCGTAAAAATGACAGAGCTGTGCGTTATTATGTGCATTTTCTGCGAACTCCTAGTTCTATGCCCTGTTTCGTTTAATGTATACATATTATCAAATTCATTTACATTACTCCCATATTTTTTTATCTTGAACAAATTCCATATAGCATAATACTCTAGCCTCTCTTTAATCGACAATAAGTTAAATTTTTCTAACAAATCATCATAATTTATGCCAGCATGTGACTTTTTGCAACTTGCTCTTGCATTCGCTACAGTAGTATTATCAAATTGACATTTCCAGTAAGTTTTGGTATAATATTTCGCTAACTTTGGATAACAATAGGTAGCTAACAGTTGATTCACTTTGGCTTGTATTCTTGTAAAGTCACCTACTCTACTGGGACCCCATATTGTCAGACAATAATCGGTCACCGCATTTACATATGCATTTAACAAAACAGTAAGCATATGTCGTGTGAGATGTCGTCGTAGCCTGCTCAGTAATCCAATATTAATACTAACTCTCTTTTGCACACTTTCTGAATGGGCCTTGAATGAAAAAAATTCATCTACAACGACTCCTAAATATTTATATGAGCTAACTCTTTCAATTTCCACTCCATTAATTAGTATAGGTGGTAAATTCTCAAAAGTTGTACAATTTGGCCTTTTCCTGATAACCATGTATTTTGTCTTTTCCTTATTCATACTTAAACCTTTGCTTTCTAACCAGTTATTCAAATTACACAACTTATCACTCATTTCGTTTATAATAACATTAATATCACTCCCACTAATCTGCACAGAAGTATCATCAGCAAATAAAGTGTAAAAACAATCCGTTAAAACCGTTGCGATGTCATTCACAAATAAAAAAAACAATACTGGACCATTAACAAAACCTTGTCCGATACCACGATTTACAACGAATGCTCTTGAGATAAAAACACCAATTTTAATGTAATAGTGTCTATTTCTTAAATAATTACATATCAATAATAACAATTTGGCATTAATTTTATAAAATTCACGCAGCATTTTTAATAGGTGATAATGAGAGATCGAATCAAATCCCTTTCTTAAGTCAATAAAAGCAACCACCACAAATTGGTTCGGTTTGTCTAATTCATTAAAAACATTCTGTGAAAATACTGTCAATGCTGTTGTACAAGATCGTCCCGTTCGAAAACCATGCTGATTATTATCTAATATATTTAACTTTTCTATCGGGGGTAACAATTTCATTTTAAGAATATACTCAAATAATTTGCTAATCGAGTGGAGAGAAGATATTGGCCTGTAGTTATTCGGATCCACGTGACTTCCTTTTCCCTTATACAGAGGTAAAACCAGACCTTCCTTAAATCTATTAGGATATGTACAAGTTGTAAATATGGTTGTAAAAAATATTGCTAAAGGTATAAGTAAATAAGGTAACAGAGGTTTTAACATTTTGATGGGGATTCTGTCCTGGCCCGAAGACTTTGGCTTCAATTTTGGAATACATTTTGATATGTCATTCTCACTAACAATAATATTATTTTCATCCGACAATGCATCACTTTGCAATAACTTTAATAATTCATCATTACACTCTTGGGAAGTCTCATCCTGAAGTATGAATGTGTCACTTAAGAGTTTAGCTATTTCATTCTTATCAGTCACCGTCTCGTCATCTCTCTTGAGATAGTTTATTTCTGCAGATTGTTTGATATTTTTACCAGTTAATTCTGAGTATGTTTTCCAGATTGTTTTTGATTCTAGCCCTTTAATTCTTACGCACCGTGCTGAATTTTATGCATGGAAATGCCAGGGCCGTACCGTGAAATGGCCAGGCCTGGTATGAGCTTAAGTACCGGGCCCTTGCATAAGTTCAATATACATATGTATTCGATATGTAGTCGTTTTCGCACCATATTCTAGAACGCAATAATATTCTACGGGTATCAAGAGTGCACTATTTTGCCAGTTCTATGGAAAAATAGTGAAAATTTATTGCGTTTTTAACTCAGCCATATTTTTGAAAATATCGGTGGGACGGCGAAAATTCAATTATGAACACTTTAGTTGCAACTAAGGTGTTCATAATTTATTTATCGATAAATGCGCGAATATGACATACTTTTCGGCATACTTTCCCACCACCCTAAATAGAGCCCAATTAGGTCTAACGCTGACCTCATATGCAGGTCAAACCAAGCCGAGCGCATGGGCTCTAAGCGCACATGCGCTAAATCCTCTGAGTCAACGACCCTTGGGGACATGTTTTATATAGTATTCATTTAAATTTTATTTTTTATAGTTTTTTAAACTTTATTTTCTTATATTTATTTTCAAATTACCATAAAATATGCAAAATATTCCCGTACTTTTTTAGGTTTTAAGGTGCGTTTTTAATTAGGCACCGACTTAAATTTAGAAACATCCCGAAATTCATTCTCACAGTGCAATTGTTTTAGCGCCTTCGACAATTTTATATCTCTAACAACCAGTTTTTTAATTTCGTAATCATTTGGTTAGACGGGGATAACTTTTACCCGATTTTGATCTGACAAATGTTTACCTGTTTTTTTTACGGAAATAAGCTGACCATATTTAGGAATTTTTTAAAAATTACTAATTTTAAAATCAAGTTACAATTAGGGATGCACCGAGTACTCGGCCTGTATTTTCACTACTCGGATTCGGCCGAGTATTTTCTCAATTTTGTTGGTCATTTTAACAAATTATTGTGTCCATGAAACTGATTTCAAGAAGTTTTCCTGCATTTTTGGTTTTACAAAACAAACTTCGTAACATTTTTGCGTATTTTAAGTCGAAATTCATCAGCGACGACGATATTAAGGATTTTTTTATAAACTGCACTAGCAATGGATATCACCAAACGTATTCTCACCGATAATAAGTATCTTCAAAATTAGCTAGAATACGCTGGGACGTGTCCATTGTTATTAGATGTTGCCCGATTGTTATGTATTACTCGGTACTCGGTGCTCGGCCGAATACTCGTTTCAGGAATTTCCGAGTACTCGGGACCCGGCCGAGTCTTATTTTTCACCACTCGGTGCATCCCTAGTTACAATTGGGAAAGTTACAACGCATTGAAAACCTCGGATTTTCGCTGAAAAGATACATATTTAATAATTTCGTCACATGCAAAAAACGCACATTCAAAAAATCGCAAAAATACGTATCAGCTTATCTTTCTGTGAGCAAATAGTATTTGCCAAATACATAATTTAAAATTAGTTCGCTAGTTCATAGCTTGAAACATGGTTTTCGCTTAGTTGACAAGTTCAAAAACCCTTTTCTATTAAGTACCTTTCTATCTATCATAAACGTTTGGAAAACTGCCAACTACATACATTTGGAATTAGTGAAAATGCAGGTCCGGAAACTCAATTCCAGTTAATTCTTAGAAGACGTATTTTTGATTTCTTGACAAATTCGAAAACGTACAGTATTTTGAAAATCCTACGTTCTGGCTGAAAATAGTTTTAAAATTTCATCCAGCTGTAAGAATAAAAGACATACAATTGTAAACATTTGGACCTGAAACAGGCACACTATATATGTTCACAAGCAGTCTGGTTCAAGTGCCGAGGGATTGGAACTTAGTACCTGGGAAACGTCACCCAAAAGTTCCGATTCCCTGGACTTTTTACTTATGCAAGTTACAGGGAAACGGAACCCACTTGTCGCAGGATTTAGCGGGTTTCGATTCCCCGGTACCCTATTAGACAAAAGTTACCATTCCCCGGAACCCAAGATTTTTCTTCGATTTTTCATAAATTGGATATATTTCAGGAAAAAAAATTTATTGCCTCAAATTAACCTCCCACAAATGAGGAAAATTGGATAAAAAAATTAGAATTTTTTATAGTCGCGCAGGTTCCCCAAAATCACAAATTTCTGACAAATTTGAGGAGCGGCAAGCTCAAAAATGTACGGGGAATCGTCACCCAACAATTATTTTCTGGGAAAAATACGATTATTTTGAGGGAAAAATAATTGTAACACGATAATAACGCAATAATTGTAACAATAACTGTAAAATAATCGTATTTTTCCCAGAAAATAATTGTTGGGTGACGATTCCCCGTACCTTTTTGA